TCACATGACAATTATCATTCAAGAGTTTATCTGAACCACCGTTGGTGTTAGAAACTTGAAGTGAAAAATCAACAGATAAGGAAAGAAACTTAGGTGTGAGAAATTCTAGAGAAGTCCAAATTACTGCCAGCAGGTGCTATGCTGTTAATCTAGGACTAAGCACTCTGTAGAATGTTGGAGCTCATGAAAACCTACTAAAAATAATTGTGAAGCTTTCTTTTTAGATATTTCGTTAGAATTTATTACAGTAAATATTTGACTCCTAAAAGTTAAACACAAGTGACTTGTAACCATCTGTTTTTACTGTGTATTTGGGTTTCCATACACACAACTGCGCAAAAACCCAGGGAAAACACTACAGCCATGCAGTAAGATACGCGGACGATAACAGACACTCCTGCCAGCACAGGAACCACCACTCAAACACCTGAACTCTCTGACATATACACACGCTGCAGCGACAAAATCACAAAAACTGTCACTGGGACGGACACACATGTGGACACACCCAGACAGACACAGAAACTCAGACACATTGGCAAAGATGATGTCTCCAGAGAAAACTAATTCACTCCCAGGGATACACAGGCCCTCTGAAAACCACCCACCCAACAGCTCTCTACTCCAGACTAATCCACATCAGCTACACTACACGTTTTACTGCTGTCTCTCCTCCTGGAACGGGGACTTCACACTTTCTGAATCTGTGCCGTAGGGAAAAACCTCTCTTGATAAGAACCCCTACACAGGAATCCGAGGAAGAAGTGGAAGGGACCCTATATGGCTGGGGTTATGGTGTTCCAGCCCCACACGCTGCTTTTAGGATTCGCTGAGAAATGCACTCATCACTACTTTGACCTCTTGTCACTGCTTTCCAACTGGAAGCTCGGTGAAGGCAATAACGGTGCCCATCTCGTGGACCGGCAGCCACCGTCTCCTACACTGCGGTCTTCCTGGCAGTCCTCCCCTCTCCTGGTCTCATGTGCCCACACACCTTGCTCCATCCACCCTGGGCGGCCCCAACCTCCTCCCAAGACTCCGTGGGTGGACACCTTGGGCACTCAGGGGCTCGTCCCACACACGTCTCCCAGCCACTGAGCCACCCATAGCAGAAGCCAGGCAGCCACGGGAATTGAAGCCCAGGGACGGGGACTCCACTTCCCTCTTCGCTGGTGTAGTGTCTTCCGCGCGTGCGCATGCGCGTCCGCCCCGCCCACACGTGCCTGCGTACTTCCGCGTGGGCTTCAATCCCAGGTGGCTCTGAGGAGTACTTCCTCACGGGGCGCACGGCATGCTGGGAGGAATCTGAAGGGTGGAGCTCTGGGCCTCTGTGGAGTCTCTGCCCGAGACCTCCACTTCTCACAGGCAGCAGGGCTGAGACTACGCGGAACCGGAACGCAGAGCACGGGTGTTGGTACAAATGCGCATGTGCACTGGTGAGGTGGCGTTGTAGTCCCTGATGGGCGGCGGGTAGGCATGAGCTGTGGTGAGGAGTCCCGGCGCCGACAGTGCTTGTGCCGCAGCCTCAGTCCTCAGGCCAGAAGATTCCAGAACACTGCCAGGTGAGTGAGGGACAACAGGTGTGAGTGTGCATGCACCTACCTGAGGGCCCTGACCAAACATCCAGTAGTGACTTCACTGAGGGTTTGAGACTGTTCACACGGCCAAGGTAGGGAGCGATGAGCAGGGGCTCCTGCGGGAATAGGGGCTGCTGTGGCCATGGGGCACGTGCTCTCAGCCCGGTGGGGCTGCCGTGACGTCCGAATGGCATCAAGTTTTACAGACTTCTAAGACTATATACAGGCATTCCTTTTGTGAGACATGACAAAGACAGGGAACTAAGATCACTGACTAGGTTTGGGGGATTTGAAAACAAATGGGCACCTCTGTTCGAGAGTGATGGTGTATTCTTTCTCTACCTCTAGCTGGCTCATACTCTGTCTCTCTCTCTCTAAAATATAAACAGAAAAAAAAAACTTTTTAAGAACTAAAAGGCAACATATTCAATAAAGGATTAGTATCTAAAATATATAAAGAATATCTAAAACTCAAACACCCAAAAAACAAAAAATCCAATTAACAAATGGGCAGAAGACATGAACAGACATTTCTCCAAAGAAGACCTACAGATGGCCAACAGACATATGAAAAGATGCTCATCATCACTCATCATCAGGGAAGCGCAAATCAAAATCACAATGAGGTATCATCTCACACCTGTCAGAATTGCTACAATCAACAACACAAGAAAAAACAAGTGTTGGCAAGCATGTGGAGAAAAAGGAACACTCGTGCATGGTTACTGGGAATACAAGCTGGTGCAGCCACTGTGGAAAACAATATAGAAGTTTCTCAAATACTTCAAAATAGAACTACCTTATGATCCAGCAGTCGCATTACTGGGTATTTACCTGAAGAATGTAAGCACACTAATTCAAAGGGATACGTGCAGCCCGATATTTACAGAAGCATTATTTACAATAACCAAGATATGGAAGCAGCCCAAGTGTCCACTGATAGATCAATGGATAAAGATGTGAAGATGCACACACAATGGATCATTCAGTCATAAAAAAGAAGGAATCTTGCCATTTGCAACAAGGATGGAGCTGGAGTATTATGCTAAGTGAAAACAGTCAGAGAAAGACAAATACCATATGGTTTCACCCATATGTGGAATTTAAGAAACAAAACCAGCAAAAGTGGGAAAAAAAGAGACAAATCAAGAAATAGACTGTCAATTATGGAGAACTGCCAGTTCCCAGAAGGGATGGAGTAGGGGGATGAGTTGAATAGGTGATGGGGATAAGGAATGTACTTGTGATGAGCACCGTGTGCTGTATGAAATGTTGAATCACTATATTGTAGACCTGAACCTAACATAGCACTATGTTAACTGGAATTAAAATTAAAACTTTTTTTTTTTAAAAACAACCCTTCTTCTCAATGACTGCTCTACCAATTTTAGTTAGCTAAATTCAGTTATTTCTGCCTTCTACAATCACCAAACACAAGCCAAAATCTGAAAATATATCCTTCCAAACACCCTCTGACTGATACATCCCACTGTCCATGTGTTCACTCAAATTGCTTGAATTCAATGCACCCAATTTTCATTGACTACCAGTGTGTTCCCAGTGGTTTGAGTTAGAAAGCTTTGACAAAACAATTATTTAAGGTTTTATTAGCAATGAGTAAGAAATCAGTTTAATAGGAAATTCCTATGCAACAATAAAAAAAGTTACACGACAAAAATGTCTTAAGTTGTATGCACCTGGAAATACTGACTTAGAATGTATAATGCTTACCAAAATTACAGTTGATCCGGAATGCATAATTGCCATGGGATATTTTAATGTGTTCTCTCAGTAAATGAAAAAGAGTATAGCATTTGGTAGAGTTACGGGTTGAATTGTCCACCAAAGTCCTATCCCCAGCACCTCAGAATGTGATCTTATTTAGAAACAGAGTTACCACCAATATAATTAGAGGAGGTGATACTGGAATAGGATGAGCCCTAACTTGATATGTGTGGTCCTTATAAAAAGAACCCCAGATGAAGAGATAAACACGCATGTGGGCAGAATGCAGAGTAAAGATCAGTTATATCGCCACAAGCCAATGAACTACCAAAAGCTAGGAGAGGGCTGGAGCAGACCCTTCCTTAGCACCTTCAGAGGAAGCATGGTCTGGCCAATACTTTGAACTTAGACTTCTACCTTCAGAACCATGAGACCAAAATTTCTGTTGTCCTAAGCCACCCGACTGTGGTACTTTGTTACAGCAGCCCCAGAAAAGTAATGCAGTAAGTGCACAGATGATATAAAAACACTGTAAGTTGTGTATTTCTAGGAAATATCTACAAAAGATTTCCCTTGATAAAATACATACTGTTTTTAGTGACACATAATCAAACATAACAGTAAAACCCTTAGCAAGAAACAGCATTTGGCTCTCCCAAATCTAGTATACGAAGGTGTGTTTTTCTCACGTTGAAGGACTGACTCAGCACACTACAAGATGTGATAGGTTAACTAAGTCCCATGTGTTATTTTGCTTTGTAGCAACACTGTAGCTTTTATGGCAGAATCAGGATCACAGAGTCACTAGAAGTATTGAAAATAAGGCGTTCACTATACAAATTAGACCTTATACACATATGTGAAGATCTAGAGAAGAGTGAAATCATAGTATCAGAAAAGATCACTAACCATGAGTCTGAAACAGTGGTCTAGAGGACACATCAGAGTTTGTAAGAATATCCAAACTGTGAGTGCAAGACCACACAAATGGATCCTTTATACGCAGCTCAGGAAGACATTCATGGAAGCCTGCAATCTGAGAAAAATGGGAATCAAGCACATGGCATTTCTTTTGCACGATACTCTTGATTGGCAGCGCCAAAATCAGGGGAAAAAAGCTCCTTTGCATCTATCACACTTTAATATGGCTCCAAACAGAAATGGCTTCTTCACTTCCACCTTCCAAATCTCGTGCCAAGTTAGGCTATTGGTAAATCTGAACGTAAAGGGAAGGGTTTCTGGGAAATGTAGTTTCCAACACTGCCCATGTTGACATAATACAATCTGGAAGAACCACCTCAAACTCTGTATCTTATATCTCATGGTTGCAAAGTATCTCTCAAGTAAAAGCCTACTGTCCAATTTCCAATCACACTCAAGGGCAAGGAGCAAAGGGAAAAAGTTGAAAGTGACAATTCACATGAGACTATGCTTTGAAGAACTCTGCATAATTATCAATTTCTGCAAAATATTTGTAAAGCAAATGCAATAAGGCTCCTCTGGCCAAATCAAATAAATAGATTCTCAGTATGGCAGAAAATACGTAACAGGTGATACCCAGGATCTGCCACACCAAGCTAGTGAGAAAATCCCAAGAAATACCAAAGTGTCATTGTTCCAAAAACCCCTTAAAGAATTTAAAGAACTAAAAAACTAAGACTACTTACATATTAAAAACACACTTCAAATCACCAGGAGTCCAACAAACTGTAAAGATAGGTTTATTTACTGAAATGTAGGGGAAAACATAGTATTTGCAAACTTTCGTATGAAAGCTAAGAGTACTTGGAGAGCTATTCTGCACCCAAGTTTTTATCTGTAAAAGAACTAGAAATGCACACCCCATGGGTCCACTTTGATGGGGTTCTCACAAAGGCAGTACCATATTTACAACTTTTATCAGCTTTCTCTCCTGGTGTGGATTTTCTGAAGCATGGGGCATGAATTCATCTGCAGAATTTCCCGCAGTGCATAAGTAGTGTCTCTCGGTAGTGTGTATCCTTACATGTCTTCTTAAGGATGAGGAACAACTAAAAGCCTTCCCACACTCCTTACATTCATAGGGTTTCTCTCCAGTGTGCACTCTCATATGTATCGGCAAGGATGACGGCCATTTGAAGACCTTCCCGCATTCCTTACATTCATAGGGTTTCTCCGCGGTATGTGTTCTCACGTGCTGCTGCAGGAGTTCAGGCCAACTGAAAGCTTTCCCGCACTGCTTGCATTCATAGAGTTTCTCTGCAGTGTGCCTTCTCATGTGTTTCTGTAAGGATATGTGGCAATAGAACGCTTTCCCGCATAGCTTGCATTGATAGGACTTGTCTCCTGGATGCATCCACACATGTTCTCGAAAGCAAGCAGACAAATTGAAGGCTTTCCCACACTGTTTGCACTCGTAGGGTTTCTCTCTGTTGTGTGTCCTCATATGTCTTCGTAAGGAGATGGGCCAGTTGAAAGTTTTGCCACACTGACTGCATTCATAAGGTTTCTCCCCAGTGTGCACTCTCATATGCCCTCGAAAGGACGAGGGATGGCTGAAGGCTTTCCCACACTGGCTGCACTCATAGGGCTTCTGTCCACCATGAGTCCTTTCGTGTCTTCGAAAGGACTGGGGATAAATGAAGGTTTTCCCACACTGTTTGCATTCATAGGGTTTCTCTCCAGTGTGAATCCTTTCGTGTCTCCGGAAGGACTGCAGGTAAATAAAGGTTTTCCCACACTGTTTACATTCGTAGGGCTTCTCTCCAGTGTGTGAGATCATGTGCCTGCGAAAAGCTGAGGAGTAGCTGAAGGCTTCTCCACATTCCTTACATTTATGTGGTGTCTCCCCAGTGTGTGAGATCATATGCCTCCGAAAAGTTGAGGAGTAGCTGAAGGCTTCCCCACATTCCTTACATTTATAGGGCTTCTCTCCAGTGTGCGTTATCATGTGTCTCCGGAAAGTTGAGGAATAACTGAAGGCTTTCCCACATTCCTTGCACTTATATGGCTTCTCTCCAGTGTGAGTTCTCACATGACTAGTAAGACTTGAGAAATCAATGAAGGCTTTCCCACATTGCTGACACTCATAGGTTTTCTCAGCAGTGTGAATCCTTACGTGCCGGTTGAGGGAAGAAGTACGAGGAAAGGTTTTTCCACATAATTTACACGCGTAGGATCTCTCTCTGTTGTGGGTTCTCACATGCATTCTTAGGTGTGCACGACAGGTATAGGCCCGCCCACACTCCTGACACTGATACGCTTTGTGTCCAGCGTGCATGGCGATGTGACTCTCGGAGTGACGCCCGAAGACTTTGTCATACTCACTGCATTCATCCTCTTTAACTCCGCAAAGAGTTTTCTCATACAGATTAAGATTTGGAATCTGACTGGAGCCTTCCCTGCACTGACCATTACTTTCAGAGAGTCTCTCCACCACAGGATTTCTGTTAAGAAGAAGAAGCATGTTATCAACAGTTTGACTAATGATTTAATATTTACTAATAAGTATCAGCATTACATTCTTAGGGGCGCGTGGATGGCTCAGTCGGTTAGGCGTCCAACTTTGGCTCAGGTCATGATCTCATGGTTTGTGAGTTCAAGCCCCGTGTTGGGCTCTGTGCTGACAGGTCAGAGCCTGGAGCCTGCTTTGGATTCTGTGTCTCCCTCTCTCTCTCTACTCCTCCCCTGCTCATGCTCTGTCTCTCTCTGTCTCTCAAAAATAAATAAACGTTAAAAAAAAAGGATTACATTTTCATCAATTTCAGTGAATGTGTAGGCTATCTGATAAAGCAGAGTAAACAATATCATGAGGAGATTGAACCATAGGCATGATGAAAACAGTTTCTTTTTTTTTTTTTTTTTTAATGTTTACTTATTTCTGAGAGAGAGACACACACACAGAGCGTGAGGGAGGGAGGGGCAGAGAGGGAGACACAGAATCTGAAGCAGGCTCCAGGCTCTGAGATGTCAGGACACAGCCCAATGCGGGGCTTGAACCCACGAACCATGAGATCATGACCTGAGCCAAAGGCGGGTGCTCAACGGACTGAGCCCCCCAGGCTCCCTGAAAACAATTTCTTAAACATGGGCTTTTCCGGGGTGCCTGGGTGGCTCAGTCGGTTAAGCATCTAACTTCGCCTCAGGTCATGATCTCACGGTCCGTGAGTTCGAGCCCCGCATCGGGCTCTGTGCTGACGGCTCAGAGCCTGGAGCCTGTTTCAGATTCTGTGTCTCCCTCTCTCTCTGACCCTCTCCCATTCATGCTGTCTCTCTCTGTCTCAAAAATAAATAAACGTTAAAAAAAAAATTTAAAAAAAAAACCAAAAAAAAACCATGGGCTTTTCCTCCTAATTGTTTCCAACTGAATTATGTTTCTAACACTCAACATCAACATCATATTTAAGGAAATTTTTTTTGTAAAAATTCTCACTGAGTAAACAAATTTGATCTAGGCTCCTGTGGGTGACTTGTTTTCTTTGCTTTTTAAATTTCATGACATACTAGGATTCTCTCCTGGAATACTGCTTTCTCTTGTGAGTGCAGCTCACCTCAGATGTCTCCCCTGGTTTGTGGGCTGATCTTCCGTGCTGAGTTCTTCCCAAATTTTCCCTAAAACAGAGGCCCAGGATTCATTTCTGGTGAACTTTGCCAATTTGTTTCCCTTGGATATTTTATTCCCATAAGCATCCTGCTGAGAAACAGACCCATTGGCCTTCAATTGAGTCTCATCATCTGAAAGCAAAAAGGGAACAAAAGTTTTAAAGGAAGAAGGTACCTGTTAGTTGAAATGACACAAAGACTTTAGCTGTATCGGGACTTCACCGATACAAGTACGAGGGCTCAAAACGGTAAGCAATTGAACGAAGGCAGTTGAATTCTCATACGATTACATAAACTTCATTGGGCTCCTTAATGACCCATGAAATCGGTATTTTCTGATGACACAAAGGGAGCTTGCTTTATAGAAAGAAAAAAAAAAATCAGTTTAATACAAAGATTCTCATTCTCATGCAGACATTATAAGATTCTAGCTCTCTGATGGTTGTGACCCTGGCTTACTAATTAATAAGCATTCCCTTTCCACATTTAAAATCTTGAAACAGGCTTGATGTGTAAGAAATGCTTGTTCTCCAAACAACCACGTGAAGGAATGAGGTCATTCTTACCCACTGCGGCCAGGTTTTTCAAGTTTTCCAGCATCACATCTCTGTAGAGCTTCCTCTGAGCAGAATCCAGCAAAGCCCACTCCTCCAGGGTAAAGTCCACAGCCACATCCTCAAAGGCCACTGAGTCCTAAAACACCCAACATATGTGCAGAAGGAAAGTTGAGACTCTAGAGCAAGTCAATTCAATTCACAGGACATTCAGACAAGACCCTGTGGTCACCCAACGTCCACTCTATGACTCGATCATCAGATCTCTCACTCTGTCCACACTTACATCCTCCTCACAAGTTTAATAGTACCACTCACCCTACTGAACTTATCTTCACACTCTTACTGCAACCACATCAAACCTCATTCTCCTTTAACCAAAGGGTTCGGACCACAATGGAGAATTCACAGAACAGCTCTCCAAATGAATCAAATATTTGCATTTTAAGACCCACCGGTCCTTTGTGATACAAACTACTTTCGCTCCTTCCCTGTTGCGCACCATGTCAAGCCCCAGGTCAAACGTGGGTGAGGTTTTATGAAATAAGAACACACTCTAGGATTGGGGACTTTTCCTTCCTGAGAGACTTGGTGGAATCCATCTTGCAGCAGGGGCCAACTGACCACAACATCTTAACTCCAGGCCCTAAGTAGACAGGTCCTACTGGCTAAATGACAAAATTCTCTTGAGGAAGTACTGTTTATGTATTTGTGTCATACAGGAATAGGATAGAAAGTTGTTGAGAGGTCAGAGCTCAGGGAAGAGGAAACAGGCATGAGAACTCAGACCTGCATCCATTCATTCCCCACACTCCCAAGTCTCAGTGCGACTGCCCGCCGTACCCCCACCAGACAAATGTTATCTGGTGACAAGCAGCTCTTTCCACCAGAAACGTAGAAGAGTACTGAAGATAAGGTTCAGTCCCATCCCACCAGGGGGTTAACTGAAGTCAAAAACACCCATCAGTGAATTTGCCCTTGATGATAAAAACAGATCGGGTTGGGCAGTGCCTTCCTACAAAGGAAACCCTCCCACATATCAAGTTGCAGGTAAAAGCTCCCCCCTCCATACATCATCCCAGAGGCCATGCTCTCAATTTCTCTCCTCCCCCTGTCCCTCCCCTGCTGGGCACGTGAGCATGTCAGGCCAACCCCTGAGAGCACAGGACCCACTGAGCTGCATGCCTCCCTTGAACCCTGGTCTTTTAAAAAGTTCATCGGCCCACTGACATCTATGAGCAGGAGAAAATACTCTCAGTCGGCAGTTCTGCTGCCAGAATTTACCTGTTCAACAGGGTAGCAGCTGAATGGGAAAATCCCCGTGACGCGCACAGGGAGCAACCGGTCCCTGAGTCAGCTGCACTGTTCTTAGTTATCTGTAGTGCTTCTTCCAGTGAATCCCCACTCCTAGTGTGTACGAAGCGTGCCATCAGGGGCCTTAACTTTATTCATAGACACAACTCCTGGCAAGGCTGGTGTCTGCGAACATGGGTTTCAGGTTTCACACCAGCCTGACTGATCTCACCCACGGTGTCTAAACTGCTGTGCACGTGACACGTCAATATGCAACACCTGCCTTCCTTCTGGGAGTCTGGAGTCAAAATGCCGGGCGCTGGGTCTCTACCAAGACTCCCTGCGTGACAGTACCTCCCGCGTCGTCAAGACTCACTGCTGGGGGCACTCTGTGTGACTCCACCGGGAAAGAACACTTTTCCCCATGTGCCTGTTCCCTGTGCTAACTCTGCTGTGTCTCTGTTTGTTGTAACAGATCACAGTCATGAGTAAAACTATATGCTAAGTCACGAGGGTCCTACTCACAGGACACAAGGATGGTCTTGGGGGACACCGGACACAGTTGGCATCAGAAGTGGAATCTGCTAGAACACCCCTGACTCACTGAAACCTAGCAGAAGCCATGTGTATGGAGAGAAGGTGTGGAGAGACCGCTGAGCTGCAGTCTGTCATGAATCAAGAGTTGACCGAGGTAAAGATGACACAGGTCCATCCCCAAGGGGGGCTGGCGCACTCGGTATACTGCTGCTTTGGGCCATGCTATCTGAGCGAGAAGACTTAAACAAAACACAGCTTTGGTGAGGTCTCGGATTTTTGTTCTCTCTTCCAGGCAGGAGGAGAAAGGGCCCCCAGGTTCCCAAGGGTAAACTATGGATGGGCAAAATATCTGAAAAGTTTGCATTGCGCTGGGAGAAAAAAATTAGTTAAATCAGTTTCCAGGACTGGAGCAGAATTTCAGATAAACCAAGGGAACAGGGGCAGGGATCCTCTCCTCATCCTTCTGCCTGGTTGCTGCTGGGCTGCCGCAGCCTCCCGGCCCACCCCTCACATGGCAGCCGGGATCATCCCTGGCAGCTGTAGTGTTACCCAGTAAATGCTGGACTCACTACGAGGGCCTCATCGTGGGCTACGCTGTCTCCCAAAAAGGTACGCTGAAATCCTAACCCTTGGTATCTATGAATGTGACCTTCCCTGGAAATAAGATCTTTGCAAATGTAACCCAGTTAAGACAAGGTCGGTAGGATGGGCCCGAATCCAATCTGGCTGGTGGCATCCTGAAGGGGGAATGCCAATGCAAAGTCAAGGACACGCAGGGACGGCAGCCACGTGAAGATGGGGTGCAGAGATTGGAATTATGCTGTCACCAACCAAAGAACACCCGGGGCTGCCCGAGGCCGTAAGACACCAGGATGACACAGAAGCACAACCCTCCGCCATCTTGATCTTGGGCTTCCAGCCTCCAGAATCTGAGAGTGAGTTCTGAAGCCACCTAGTTTATGGTCACTTGTTACGGCAACACTACAGAACTCAAACGGCTTCAAATAAGTTTGTGATGAGGAAAAAGGGAAAAGGTTGTTTTGTGGGTTTTTTACTCAAATTGGTTTTGTTTTGTGGCTACTGCATCTGCAAGGAAGATAAAAATGGACCCACATGCCTGTAATGTAATAAATGCTAAAGGAATCATCCCAATCAGTGCAGGGAAACAGTGTGAACAGGACACAACCCCCTTGCTTGTTGCCACTGGTGCATGGGGTGGAATTTAAACTCCTAAGTGGTAGGACAAGTTTAGGTTTTTTACTGAGTTTTTACCTACCGGAGGTTCACAACCAGAGGGAAACAGTGAAGCAGGCAATCTCTAAATGGAGAGATGCTTTGGGAATTTTAAGTACAAGTTTTCAGCTTGCCGAAGAGTTTTTTAAAAATACTTCTTTTTTTTTTTTTTTTTTTTTTTTTTTTTTTAAGTTTATTATTTTTGAGAGGGTGAGAGACAGGGCGTGAGCAGGGGAGGGGCAGAGAGGGATACAGAATCCAAAGCAGCTCCAGGCTTTGAGCTGTCAGCACAGACCCCGACGCGGGGCTCGAACCCACAAACTGCAAGATCATGACATGAACTGAAGTCAAATGCTCAACTGACTGAACCACCACCGAGGCGCCCCACCAAAACCCATTTCTGATGGCCGCTAGACGCAGACGACGGTCCGGCAGTGCGTCACGTGGACTCCGATGAGAGCAGGGACCGCACGTGCAGCTTGGAACACACAGTTCTGACCCTGCAGCATCTCAGCTCTGCTGCTTCTAAAAGAGGCCCCTGGTGATTTGGGGAATTGCAAACCGCCTGAACTTGACTGCAAGCTAACGGCCCGCGGTGTCCGCGATGGCTGTTTCAGCCTCACTGCACGCTGGGCTGCTCTGAAAGCAGGTGCAAGCTCCAGGAACAGGACTCTGACCGGGAACCCTGCAAACTTAGGACACTTGTCTGAGGTCCTGACCCACGAAAACCTCCAGGTGGTCCATCTGGGTCACTCGCGGTTGCCGGTGATGAAGGCCTTGTTCTCCAACGAGACAATCTGAAATCAAGCTGTTCGTTTCCATTACTTTCCGCACAGACCACCCCCAGATGCCGTCCCCACCGGTGAGGTGGACGAACTAGTGTTGTGGGTCACAAAAGTGTCTGAAGGTGACCACCGCAGGCATCCCTGCTAACAAGGACCAGACTGCGTTACTTCAAATAGGCTGCACTGAGGGCGCCCTGGGTGGCTCAGTTGGGTAAGCGTCCGACTTCGGCTCAGGTCATGATCTCGTGATTCGTCAGTTCGAGCGCCATGTTGGGCTTTGTGCTGACCACGTGGGGACTGCTTGGGATTCTGTCTCCCCCTGCCCCTCCCCCCCCTTCTCTCTCGGCCTCTCAAAATAAATAAAGTTAAAAAAATAGGCTGGGGTGCCTGGGTGGCCCAGTCGGTTAAGCGTCCGACTCATGACCTGAGCCAAAGTCGGATGCGGTCATGATCTCGCGGTTCGTGAGTTCAAGCCCCACACCGGGCTCTGTGCTGACAGCTCAGAGCCTGGAGCCTGTTTCGGATTCTGTGTCTCCCTCTCTCTGACCCTCCCCCGTTCATGCTTTGTCTCTCTCTGTCTCAAAAATAAATAAAAATATTTTTTAAGACAATAATAAATAGGCTGCACTGAAAACTCCAGGGCAAGCCCCCCCACCCCAGAGTCCACAGTGGGGACCCGCTGACCTGGCTGCCTAATGCATATCCCATCAGGACACTATCTTGTCCCTGAAAGACACTCGAGTCAGCCAGAGTTGTGCCAGAACAGACACCTGAGGCCAGGTGAAAATAAAACAATACAGAAATTTTGAGGATGAAGCCTCCTAATGTTCTAAGACCTTTACCTTTACGAGCAACGGGATATGCTTGAACTGGACAAGTCAGGACCCATAAAGGGCATAACCAAAACCAATACTGCAGACTGGTCTCACTCGGCTACACAGGGTACCACTGATAATAATTTTGCTGTAAAGATGTCTTGTCCAAGGGCCAAAGGAATGGACTGTTCAAAAAAATTTGTTTTTGATGTTTTTATTTATTTTTGAGACAGAGAGAGACAGAGCATAAGCAGGGGAGGGGCGGAGAGAGAGGGACACACAGAATCCGAAGCAGGCTCCAGGCTCCGAGTTGTCGGCCCAGAGCCCGATGCGGGGCTCGAACCCACGAGCTGTGAGATCACGGCCTGAGCTGAAGTCGGACGCCCAACCGACTGAGCCACCCAAGGTGCCCCGGAACGGACTGTTCAGAAGTGTTAACTTTAAAAAAAAAAAAAAAAAAAATTTTTTTTTTCAACGTTTATTTTTTTTGGGACAGAGAGAGACAGAGCATGAACGGGGGAGGGGCAGAGAGAGAGGGAGACACAGAATCGAAAGGAGGCTCCAGGCTCTGAGCCATCAGCCCAGAGCCTGACGCGGGGCTCGAACTCACGGACCGCGAGATCGTGACCTGGCTGAAGTCGGACGCTTAACCGACTGCGCCACCCAGGCGCCCCCAGAAGTGTTAACTTAATAGGCCTGAGTCCTGCTCCCAAGGTTGGCCCTTGGCTAGTTCACAGGAACTTGGATTTGGGAAGGCTTCCCACCACCCTGTTAGGAGAGGCTCCCTATGTCCTGTTATGCTAGTAATGTCTTGTGCTGAAGACCAGCTTTCCTTCTGGGAGTCTAGAATGTTGGTATGTGCTAGGCACAGGGTGTCTCCATGACCCGGTACCAGAGTCTCTCGTTAGCTTCCCTGGTAGACACCATTTACATGTGCCCTCACTCCGGGCTACTGGAGGGACTGAGCATATCCTGCATGATGTCCCCGGAGGGGACACCTGGAACCCTGTGGCTGGTGTCCTCGGGACTTGGCCCCAGGCACATCTCCCCTCTGCTGACCTGGTGCTGTATTCTCTCGCGCTGTAATAAATCAGGGCCGTGAGCGCAACTACGTGCTGAGTCCTGGGAGTCCTCCTAGTGGACCTCTGAACTTAAGGGTGGTCTTGGGGACTGCTACGGACTGAAATGTTTTTGTGCCCTCCAAAATTCAGGTTCAATCCTAACTTTATTATTTTTTTTTTATTTTTTTTTTCAACGTTTATTTATTTTTGGGACAGAGAGAGACAGAGCATGAACAGGGGAGGGGCAGAGAGAGAGGGAGACACAGAATCGGAAACAGGCTCCAGGCTCTGAGCCATCAGCCCAGAGCCTGACACGGGGCTCGAACTCCCGGACCGCGAGATCGTGACCTGGCTGAAGTCGGACGCTTAACCGACCCAGGCGCCCCTCAATCCTAACTTTAGTGTGAGGGTACTGAGAGGTGGGGCCCTGGGGAGGGGATTAGGCCAGGAGGCTTCAGCCCTCATAGGTGGGGTGAGTGCCCTTATAAGAGGCCCGAGAGAGCTCCCTCGTCCCTCCATGTGAGCACACAGTGAGGAGACCACTGTCTGTGAGCCAGGAAAAGGTCCTCACCAGACACGAATTCTGCCAGAAATCTGCCAAATCTGACATCAAGACACCTTGACCTTGGACTTCTCGGTCTCCAGAACTGTGAGAGACAAATGTATATTGTTTATAAGCGCCTGGTCTGTGGCATTTTTTTAATGTTTATTTATTTTTTAGAAAGAAAGACACCATGATTGGGGGAGGGGCAGAGAGAGAGGGAGACACAGAATCAGAAGCAGGCTCCAGGCCCTAAGCTCTCAGCACGGAGCCCGATGTGGGGCTCGGACTCACAAACGGTGAGATCACGACCCGAGCCAAAGTCGGACACTCAACCGACTAAGCCACCCAGGCGCCTCAATTTTATTTTATTTTTAAAATGTTTATTTTTGAGAGACAGAATGCAAGCTGGGGAGGGGCAGAGAGAGACCGGGGCAGGGGGGGGGGTACACAGAATCCAAAGCAGGCTCCGGGCTCTGAGCTGTCAGCACAGAGCCCGACGCGGGGCTCGGACTCACAAACCGTGAGATCATGACCCGAGCCGAAGTTGGACGTTCAACCGACTGAGCCACCCGGGCGCCCCTGGTCTATGGCATTTTTGTTACAGCGGCCCCAGCAGATGGAGACAGGGACTCCCAACACACCTGGCTCAAATCCACCACCTTTATGAAATTAATTTTTTAAGCGCCATGCAGAACCCAGTATATGCAAAAAATTCTGCCAAAAGCCTCGTATGCATCAGCTCGGATATTCTTAAAAACTCCGCAAAGCAGGTATTATTAAAACTGGCTCACGGCAGAGGAAATGCAGGACAGTCGGTAACATCCCCGAAACTCCTCCAACGCCTGCACTCGTACACACACCGTGTGGTGGTTTCTCTGTTGTGACTGCTGTTTCCCAGTGTGGTAAGAAGAATGCATGGACTTCTGCCGGGCACTAAGGTGAGTAGGCAACAGGAACCTCTCCTACTGCCCTCATGCCCTCACGCTCCTGCTCGTGGCAGAGCCCTGTGTCCCTGCAGGACCGCTCTGTCTGAGGACCTCACCTCTGGCTCTTTCGCGGAGTGAACTGTATTCAGGTCGCGGTTACTTGGGTCCTAGAACCTGCGGGCACCGGGGCTGCAGCACTGAACAAAACAAGAATTCTGAACCACGTGGATTTTAAATTCTCTTGGGAGGAAAATGATAAATAAGAAAATCAAGTTGCCGTACTACGGGAAATGTGCCACACAAGCGGGTTCGGAAGAACGTATATATGTTGACGTGTGTGTTTGTGTGTCATTGATCTCTGTGTGGCTATTGACATAGATACATATGAATGACTGGCTGCAGGGCAGAGGAGAGGAGAGCAGGAAAATTAATCATTTCTGATTATACTGCAGTTAGATACCTAAATCGCTAAAAAACATACACACATGTACATGTTACATACACACATGTAACGATATGCGTGTACGGAACTCTATGGGCAGAACCACAAATATACACATACAAGTCTTCATATACTTCTACGTATTCGTTACCCCTGGAGAGGGAGAGGGCCTGCCTGGGGTTCACTTCAAGTGGGGCTTCTCGTGTGAAGGCTTGTTCTACATTTACGGCTGAATTTCACTGCACGGAGTGTTCTTTTTTAAGTTATCTGTCAACTGAACCTGTGTCAAATGCATTTTCCTGCACTGGTGCTATATCACACAACAGAATATGCTAAAACCAATTCGTGTGATTTACGTGTAATGCTCCCAAGAGACGTCAAAAGCCATTTTATAATATTCAGCAATCGTACATAAAAAATCTTACCACTGGGAAACAATGGTAACATGCCCAACCTGGTCAAGGAAAACCAATGAAAGAAGGTTCAAAACAGAACAAAGATGGGGCGCCTGGGTGGCGCAGTCGCTTAAGCGTCCGACTTCAGCCAGGTCACGATCTCGCGGTCCGTGAGCTCGAGCCCCGCGTCGGGCTCTGGGCTGATGGCTCGGAGCCTGGAGCCTGTTTCCGATTCCGTGTCTCCCTCTCTCTCTGCCTCTCCCCCATTCATGCTCTGTCTCTCTCTGTCCCAAAAATAAATAAACGTTAAAAAAAAAAAAAAAAAAAAAAACAGAACAAAGATCATATAAAACGGTATGAAGTTCATTGTTTCCTCCAAAACAACTGGGTACAAATCAGGTATGCCCGGCACCTCCCTCTTGATTTAATCAACATTATACTAGAGATCTGATCCGGTACCACCAGAAAATAAACACAGGTCCAATACTAGAAAACAAACACTGGTCTTCGTGCCTAAGCTTAAAAACTGTATATACGGGGGGCGCCTGGGTGGCTCGGTCAGTTAAGCGTCCGACTTCGGCTCAGGTCATGATCTCACGGTCCGTGAGTTCGAGCCCCACGCCGGGCTCTGTGCTGACTGCTCAGAGCCTGGAGCCTGTTTCAGATTCTGTGTCTCCCTCTCTCTCTGCCCCTCCCTTGTTCATGCTCTGTCTCTCTCTGTCTCAAAAATAAATAAACGTTAAAAAAATTTTTTTAAAAACTATATACGGGACACCGACGTAACAAAAATGACAGTCACAAAATAAGATTTTTACAAGATTCCAGGATAAAAATTCAATATGAAACCAAATTTCATTAACAGCAAGTCAAAAATTCATTTAAAAAAGATGACACATACCATGGTGAAAACCAAATTTCAGTAGTATCAAATAAGTAAAATGAAAGCTATAGAAAGAGCCAGATGGAAAAATCTGAAACCATTAAGGGTTAATACCCAAAAAGAAATAAATGGAAAGAAAGCACAGAGACAAGATCTCACTGTTACTAAGATACCAACCCTCCCAAGACAGACCTACAGTCTTCGTAATATTCTATTAAACCCACAAGCCCAAGTGTGGTTTTTTGGGGGGGACTAGACAAAGAGTAATTCTGCAAATCTAACAAGAAGAACAAATGTCCAAGGACAGGCAAAGTGTTCTAAATAACAAGGCAGGGCCTGCCGACACTCGGGATTTTAAGGCAACAGCACTCCGACATGATGGAAGACGGCCGAATCAATGGGAAACGGGTCCAGGCCTACGGGGAAACTCGATTCACGGCGGGACAGCCCCTGAAGAGCGGAGGCAGAAATGATGAACACTTTAATTCATGAGACAGTAACAGAAGACTGACTTCTAAATAACAAAGATGCTTGCATTCCTACCCCTTCCATGGACACTAATTTGTTGCACATTACAGCAAAGTGTATCAGCAATAAAAGGAAAGGGTACTGTCACAAACGCTCCACGCGGCCAACTCAACGAGATTGGCCAACCAATCTCACAGACTGGTTTATCCTTCTAATTTACCAACTGACCTACCACGCTTTGCGGAAGGGTATTCGTTCCCCCGCAGCCCACGGGAAGGGAGATGTTCTCCATTCCTCGGACACTCTTTTCCCCAGAAAGCCTTTCCCGGGGAGGCCCGAGATTCCACCTGTCATCACCAAAGGCACAGACCTGAGAAACTTACTACACACGGGGACGGACTTCCAGAGAACCTTTAACAAATGGAATGTAAGACATTTTCTTGTTTTTCTGAAAGCCACTCCTTTGAAAACATTTCATGCTCGCCTTCGCGCTATTAACTAAACGGGTTTGACATCTGCTAAAACACCGAGGTTCCGGTAAGTGAATACATCTTCTCGGGGGTGGGGTGGGGGGGGGGGGGACGAACCAGGCAGGCGCGGTGCAGGACCCCCGCACTGCACCCCCGAACAAAGGGCGCCGACCCCGGGCCCGCTGCAGGTGTTGAGGGGAGGGCATGACGCTTCGCAGGAGGCCGCACCAGCCCCCCGCAGGGGAACCCAGGCGCCGGAACCGCCTCTCCCCTCAGCCCCAGACCCAGTCCGCTGTCTGCCACGTCCCTCCCAGGAGCGGTTACCTGGGGCCAATGATCTGTCAGGGGGTCCCCCCACCCCGAGCCCAGGGCCCCAGACAGGTCCCCCCGCACTCCTCGCCCGCCCCCCGAGGTGGGGGGCAACCCAGGACTGCGAGTCCCCAACATCCCCCCCTCCCTCGCCCGAAGGCGGAGACTCGGGTCGGGAGCCCCGGGACGGGGACACCCGGGCCGCGGCCGCAGGGAGCGGGTTCCGGCCGGATGGAACCAGCTACTCCCGGTCTCGGCCCGGGCCGCGCGCACTCACCATGTCGGGCCCGGCTCCGAGCTCTCCGGGGAAGACGTCTTCCCCGCGGGCCCGAAGGCCGGGCAGGTGAGAGGAGGACACCTGGGTCCGCGCGGGCAGGTGCGCAGGAGCCCCCGGGACCTGCCCGGAGCCACGTCCACGCGGCCGCAAGCGCGCCCGCCCCCGCGCCTGATTGGACGGTGTTCCGGGCCCCCGCGCCCTGATTGGATGGTGCTCGGGGTCCTCCTCTCCCAGGGCTCCTGATTGGATACTTTTCCGAGACCCGCCTCTGGTGCCCTTGATTGGACAGTGCTCCTCACCCAAGCTCCTGATTGGCTAGTTCTCCAAGCACCGCCCCGGGGCCTCTGATTGTGTTTCGAGAAACGCCCTTGTCGTTCTGATTGGACGGTTCTCCGTGACCACACCCCTGCACCTGAGCGACAGGCCGTCCCGACACACGTGGCTGACCCGCGCGCTCCGGACGTGCGCCGGGAGTTGAGCCTCCCGGTGGCGCGGCGTGGCAGGCCCTGACCTCCTGACTCGGTTTCGCCGCGGAGCGTCCCCTGCCCGGAGCCGGGACCGAGAAGACAGGGCCGCAAGGCCCGGAGGCGAGGTGACCGTGGACGAGTACTCTTTGTTCAAGAACAAAGACCCTACGCAGTGACGTCACCGCACGGAAGGCTGGGTCGGGCTCCGGGTTCAGGAGTGACCTTTGACATCTGAGGCTCCGGCCCCGTCCCGGTGCTGGAGGTCCGCTAATCGCCGGGGATGGGGACCTGGCGCCCCGCCCCAGTGCGGGCAGCTTTTGAAACCCGCAGGTGTGCGTTTTACGCTGCAGAGAGATGTATTTGGAATCAGGGTTCAGTTGTGTCCCCAGGAAATTCTGCAGACTAAAAGCGTGATGTCCCCGAGGCAATTGAGTTCCTATCTTAACTGATTTGAAACAACAGCAAAGTTTCTGTAAGGCTTTGGGACGGACCTGAAAACACTTAATAAATGGGGGCTTAACACCCAAGGTATCTAATAAGGCCTACCCGCTTAAGAAAACTGTGCCTAGGCTGGGTCTGGACGTCCAAACGCTTGGTACCACTCACTTGATTTACAAACAGAATTAAAAAAAAAAAAAAATCGGGGGGGTTTGCAAAAAGGTTTTATACGCTGTCATAAAAATGAGTGTTTAGAAAATTAATACATAAAAAGCTTCGAGTTAAAAATAAATGACTTGTTGGATTCATAAGCTATTTAAAGTATGATTATATACTTTTTCGCTTAATATGGATTAATAATGAAAGCCAAATTTCAATAAATCAGCATGAGATTTAGAAGTCTGCCTTAAGACTGGATTCTGGCACGAACCTCCAGCACCGTCTGCCTGCCATAGTGTGTTCAGATAACTACCCTGTAAGCATCACTCATAAAGGACATGTCATTTCATTCATTAAGGTGAAAAATGAGGCTGATCTCGGGATTCTTCACAAAACATTCATTGCACAGAGAGCAAAGTAAAACTGTAGCAGCCTGAGAGGAAAGAAGTGTGAGTCAAGTTATTTGAGATGTGATTCATGTGTGGAGGTAACAAAGGCATTCTCAAACGCACAGAGTGACAGGACAGGAAGGCGCAGAACCCCTTCTCCCTCCTGCGGCCTCCATCCACCCTGCGGTTAGAAGGTTCTAGTATTCGGGGAGCCGCTGGCGAAGTAGAAATGTGGTTTCCTGCGTGTTCAGCCCACTCCAACCCCACATCATAAAGCCAAGTATGAAAGATGTGGCCGGCAGAATAAAGGTGCACACGTGGTGATCACCAGAACCTGTGAACATGGCCCCGGACATAGCAAAAGGGACTTGGCAGAAGGGATTAAGGGCCCTGAGGCGGGGGTGACCCTGGGTTCCCAGGGAGCCCAGCGTCCTCAGGAGGTCCTCAAGAGACAAAGGCAGGGGGTAGGAGTCAGAGAGATGGTCAGACCCCCAGCTGCTGGCCGTGAGGATGTCGGAGGGATCTCAGGCCAAGGAGTTTGGATGGCTTCTAGAAGCCAGATAAAGGTGAGGGAAGAGATTCTCTTAGGGTCTCCAAAAAGAAGATGGCCTTGCCAACACCTTGATTTTAGGGGGCGCCTGGGTGGCTCAGTCGGTTAAGCGTCCGACTTCAGCTCAGGTCACGATCTCGCGGTCCGTGAGTTTGAGCCCCGCGTCAGGCTCTGGGCTGATGGCTCAGAGCCTGGAGCCTGCTTCCGATTCTGTGTCTCCCTCTCTCTCTGCCCCTCCCCCGTTCATGCTCTGTCTCTCTCTGTCCCAAAAATAAATAAACGTCAAAAAAAAAAAGAAGACGGCCTTGCCAACACCTTGATTTTAGACTTCTGACCTCCAGAATTGTTGTAAGAAATTGGTTAAGTCACTAAGTATGCAGGAATTTGTTACAGCAGTCACAGGAAGTTCACAAGACGGCTCTGAAGCAGAGGAAAATGCCTCAGCATGGGGCACAAAGAACGCCTCTTCCCAGCCTGAGTTTTTGTGAGACGACTTTGAACTTTCCACGGGCTCCTTCAACATGACTCTGCTCCCACAGCGGCGCATCTTGGAGCGATCTGACCTTTTTTTAGAGAACAATGTCTTTGCATCTTTGTGTTTGAAAGGTAGCACTTTTCAGATAGATGATATTCTGACTAGAGATTTTATCCAAACCGTAAGCATCCATTCGTAAGGCGTTGGGAGGGCTGGTTTTTGCATTCCTCAAAGAAGTATCTCCCAATGATAACCACAACAGGGGGAGAAGGGGAGCACTTTCAACCCGTCCCCCAACATTTCAACCATACAGAACATGCCGCAACATTTTCAATACTCCTGTATCTACTGCCAAGGTGTATGAAATCCTATCGGTTTACCATCCTCTATCAGATTTCTTGAAAGAAATCTGATACTTTACAGGGGCGCCTGGGTGGCTCAGTGGGTTGAGCATCCGACTTCGGCTCGGGTCATGATCTCATAGTTCATGGGTTCGAGCCCCGTGTCAGGTTCTGTGCTGACCGCTCGAAGCCTGGAGCCTGCTTCAGATTCTGTGTCTCCCTCTCTCTCTGCCCCTTGCCCGCTCACGCTGTCTCGCTCTCTCTCTCTTTCTTAAAAATAAATAAACATAAAAAATAAATAAAATAAGATAAAATAGAAAGAAAACATCACAGATAGAGTTGAAACACCCTGTGTATCACCTCCAGAATCCCAAGATCCCTTCCACGTCCTCCCAGAGGAAACCATAATCACAAATTTAGTGCGTATTATTGCCATGACATACATTTGGATCCACAAACTACATATAACATTTTCCCGACTTTCAATTTTAAAGTGCCCTTATATACTATACACACTCTGTGACTCGACCTTTTTATGCTACAAAAGCTGCTTAATATTGATAATCACTACAGGTTTCATTATAGGGTTTAATGTAATAAAATAAAATGCCAAAAGAAACTGAAGCAGGAAATACACCTTCCAAAAACACCAGCAAAGAAATACACTCCACCAATACAAACAACAGTAGAAGACAGAAAATAAAAGCTTCAAAAATAAGAAAAACGACATAAAATACATCAGAATTAAAGCCAACAACATTTATCAAAGCAATAATTGGCATAAATGTGTCCTTTAAAAACAAATGGATTTTCTTCTTTGAATCCTAAAGCAACATTCAATTATGTACTAAAAATGAGAGATGCAAGGAATTTTAAAGGTTGAAATTCACAGGAGGTGAAAAATTATTCCAAAATTAAAGGCTAGTTTTGTTTAAAAAGCAGAGGTGGGTGCCTGGGTGGCTCAGTCGGTTAAGCGTCCTACTTGGGCTCAGGTCATGATCTCACGGTTCGTGGGTTCAAGCCCCACGTCGGGCTCTGTGCTGACAGCTCAGAGCCTGGAGCCTGCTTCGGATTCTGTGTCTCCCCCTCTATCTGCCCATCTGCTGTTAGCACTCTGTCTTTCTCTCAAAAATAAATAAACATTTAAAAAAATTTTTTTAATGCACATTACCGGGCACCAACTCTTACTTGTTAAATCTGAACGTCCTGACGTGAAATTTGACAGCCAATGATTAAAAAGGTTGATGCAGGGGCGCCTGGGTGGCGCAGTCGGTTGAGCGTCCGACTTCAGCCAGGTCACGATCTCGCGGTCCGTGAGTTCGAGCCCCGCGTCGGGCTCTGGGCTGATGGCTCAGAGCCTGGAGCCTGTTTCCGATTCTGTGTCTCCCTCTCTCTCTGCCCCTCCCCCGTTCATGCTCTGTCTCTCTCTGTTCCCCAAAATAAATAAACGTTGAAAAAAAAAATTTAAAAAGGTTGATGCAGCAGGCAAGCCAGATTCCAAAGCATAAAAAAAAAGAACACAGCTTCTCCCTAAGATCTAGAGAACGTTTTAAAACTCGATCACAGGGTACACCACACAATGAAACTCAACACGTTTCAAAGATTCAGGACAGTAGACACATTCTCAGACCACAGCACAATAAAGCAGAAACTTAACAAGATAATAAAGATAATGGGGATCTACAGAAAGTCCACAGAAAACATCATACTCCATGGTGAAGGACTGAATGCTTTTCCCTAAGATCTGGAATAAAGCAAGGAGGTGTGTTCTCAACACTCCTGTTCAATATTGTACTAAAGGATTGAGCCATTGCAATCAGACAAGAAAAAGAATTTGTTTTTAAAGAGAGGGAGATGGGCATTTAAACACCAAGAAATTGAAAATATATATATACATTCTCTCTCAAAATACTTTGAGATAAATTAAAAAAAAAATGTTGTAAATATTTTTCCTAATGGGCTCCGTGTCCATAATCTCACAACCTTGAGATCAAGAGTCATACACTCTACTAACTGAGCCAGCCAGGTGCCCCTCTAAATAGTTTTGAAATATGTGAAAACAAAGCTAAACAAAAGCTTTCCTCTGGTTAAAGGCCTCACCTTGGAAGCTCCAGTGACTCACATTTCAAATTAAATATCAGGTTGTCAGAAAGGCCCTGAGGTTAGTCACTCTCTTTTTATCTATCACGGCATCATCCTGTTTACATCCCCAAGAGCACTACCAAAATCTGCAATTATTTAATTAAAGTATTTGGTTAGCTATTTCACATCTGTTCCTGCCCCTCACTCCATCATGGATCTGGCTGTACAATGAGCAGAGTTCACTGCAAAATGAAAACACAGCAGGGGGATCCTCTGAATATCAAGATGGGGGGCACCTGGGCGGCTCAGTCGGTTAATCGTCCAACTCTTGGTTTTGGCTCAGGTCATGATCTCATGATTTGTGGGATCAAGCCCTGTGTCAGGCTCTATGCTGATGGCACAGAGCCTGCCTGGGATTCTCTCTCCCTCTCTCTGCCTGTATCCTGCTTGTGCTCTCTCTCTCAAAAATAAACATTAAAAAATATACATATATATATAGGGCACCTGGGTGGCTCAGTCGGTTAACCACCAGACTTCGGCTCAGGTCATGATCTCATGGTTCGTGGGTTCGAGCCCTGCATCAAGCTCTGTGCTGACAGCTCAGAGCCTGGAGCCTGCTTCGGATTCTGTGTCTCCGTCTCTCTCTGCCCCTGCTCAGCTCATGCTCTGTCTCTCTCAAAAATAAACATAAAAAAAAAAAAAAAGAATCAATATGGATACACTAGAGTATTTAACCAATCACAGGACCTTTGTGAGACACACTTGGGTGACTGCACACATCACAACCGACGAGGCCGTCCTGCTTCCCCACTCCTCGAATATATGTGCAGGGAGGGCAGACACCTCATCCACCTTACGCACAGCCACCTAGCACAAGGAGTTGCCCACAACTGTTGGAGGGAGCAAGGGATAGAGACCGGAAAACAGTGCGCTTGTGACACCCCGACGTCAGCCAGCCCTCAGAACTGGATGAAAGCTACAGATGCTTCCCCAGATGACGCGCTATGCCCCAACATACATCCTGCAGCGAGCACAAGACTGTTCGTGGAGCCCTTAAAGAAACGTACCCGTCAACCCAGTAGGGTCTACACAGACCCCAGATGAGGGATCCCTACTTTAGAGAAAGGCAGCAACAAACGACGTGATCAGGTACCACTTAGGTGACAGGAGACCCAACAGGCAACCTTCCTCATCAGCCGCAGAGAAAGGGGAAGATCTAGACAAAGGTCAAATGACTTCCAAGGGAGAATTTAGAAAGCACAGTCCCCCTGCATCCAAATGTGGCATGGGCCCTTGTACAGGTCGTTCAGGTTCAAATGCTGGGTCCGGCACCGTCTAGTCATCTGACTCTGGACAAGCTCCCTTATTTCTGTTTGCCCTTTTGTAATGTCGGCAGGTGAACAGCTACTATCTCTTGGGCTTGGTGAGAGTCAATGATGAACCACACAGAAGTGCTGGAAACAGAGCAAGCAACCAACAGGTGATGCTGGTGCTGGTGATGGTACACATCAGAGCTCTCGGTCTCCACTCAGGCAAGTCCGCCTCGCGGGTGGGATTTCTCCCAAGCTGTCAAAGGCTGCTCCACTCCCCGCTGTCCCGAGACCGACTGCACTCTACCCTCCCCACCATGGCATCGGCAATCCTGATCAAAGAAACCCGATATCCCTTGGGGTCGTTTGATTTCTACCTACCGTCAAAACGATTATAGCAACACCAGACAAAATGACTAAAGGCAGGAAACCACACATCATCAGGTAACTCTGACAAACAAACTCTGTCCATTTCCTCCACATCTCTGCCCAGCCTTTGTCCGTTTATGTACATACTCAGAATACACTGGACGGAGTCACACATACCATTTTGCACGCTTTATTTTTCACTGTGCACCCAAAGCTCTTTCCGTGTGAGCACACGTTCTGTGTTGACACAGCCGGGCACGAAACAAGTTAGCACCTAGCTAAGGGACCGACAGGGGCAGGATGACTAAGTAAAATACTGAAACAGACTATTGAAACAAAAGTACTGAATTGGGGGCACCTGGGTGGCTTAGTCAGTTAAGCGTCCAAATTTGGCTCAGGTAGTGATCTCGTGGTTGGTGGGCTCGAGCCCTGCGTCTGTGCTGTCAGCTTGGGATTCTCTCTCTCTCTCTCTCTCTCTCTCTCTCTCTCTCTCTCCCCGTCTTTCTCTGCCCCTCTCTTGCTAGCATAATCTCTTCCCATAATAAACATTTTTTTTAATACTGAATTTTGAAACAAAAGGTACTCTGTTTCAACAACTAAATTAGTATGACGATTCTCAGCAAAATCCCTTTCCACATTGCTGTTCACATTTATCAATCTTTTCCAAAAGGACACGCCCCACTCGGCATAGCTCAATGGCAATTTCCCCCACTAAAAGGTCCCTTCTCAGATCTAGACCTCGGAGCTTTTCTTCAAGAACGTGCATGGGGCGCTTGGGTGGCTCAGTCAATTGAGCGATTGAGCATCCGACTTCGGCTCAGGTCATGATCTCACGGTCTGTGAGTTCGAGCCCCGCGTCGGGCTCTGTGCTGACCGCTCAGAGCCTGGAGCCTGTTTCAGATTCTGTGTCTCCCTCTCTCTCTGCCCCTCCCCCGTTCACGCTCTGTCTGTCTCAAAAATAAATAAACGTTAAAAAAAATTTTTTTTAAAAAGAACGTGCAGAAACCTACTTCTTTTCAAACAGTCCCATCAGAAGGGCAAAATCTAACCATACTTCTGTAGCAGAGAGCTAAAAGGTACCTTACAGGCAGCAAGTGGTCTCTAAAACCCAATGAGGTTGCTGCTCTGATAGAAAGCTTTCCCACAATCAATTATTTTATAGGTTTTCTGACTGGTGTGAGTTTTCTGATGTGTGATAAGGGACGAGCTCTGGCTGAACGCTTTCCCACATTCGCTACAGCCGTACGGTTTCTCTCCGGTGTGAGTCCTCTCGTGCCTCACGAGGGAAGACCTCTGACTGAAGGCTCTTCCACACTGATTACATTCATAGGGGTTCTCACCGGTGTGAGTCCGCTCGTGTTGGTTAAGCGAGGAACGATCACTGAAGGCCTTTCCACACTCGTTACATTCATAGGGCTTCTCGCCCGTATGCGTTCTCTTGTGCAAGACCAGGTAAGAACTCTGGCAGAAGGACTTTCCGCAGTCTTTGCATTTGTAGGGCTTTTCCCCTGTGTGAATCCTCTGGTGCTGGGTGAGAGACGAAATCCTGTTGAAGGCTTTCCCACATTCGCCGCACGCATAGGGTTTCTCTCCAGTATGAGTTCTCAAGTGTCGTGTGAGGGTTGAGCTGTGCGTAAAGGCTCGCCCACATTCCTGACATTCATACGGTCTCTCTCCTGTATGGATTCTCTGATGCTCACTCAGGGAATGCCTCCGGTTAAACACTTTCCCGCAGTGGTGACATTCGTAGGGCTTCCCCGCTGTATTCACCGTGTTGTGTGTCGTGAGAGCCGTACCGTGAGGAAATGATTCCCCGCTTTCGGCGGCTCTGTTGTGTTGACCGAAGGCACTATTGTGGCTGACGTCTTTTCCACATTCGTTCCCTTCACGGGGTCTCTGATCTGTATAGGCCATCCGATGACGGTTTAAGAATGGATTAGCTACCAAACTCTCAATATCTAGACCACAGTCGTGGGAATGTTCTTCTATAGAACCTCCTTGAGATAAAGCAAGGTCTGAGCTCATACCACAGGCTTCCCCAAACTCATGCCAGGCAGTGGTCTCCCTTTGAGCAAACGCCTCCGCCTGGGGGTATGCCAGCTGCCTCAAAAGCCTGTGCAGGGCTTCACGATTCTCCTCAAGTTGACCATAGCCCCAGTCTCCTTTGGGAAGCTTTACTATAGTCATACCACTGGGTGGTTGTTCCCCCCAAGCCACCTTCTTACAAGATGACTCTTGGCTTTTCAGTATGGCAGCCAAATCTGAAATAAATTGACAAAAGGAGGGGGAGAGAAGAAACTTTTAACTTAATAATGGCGGCACAAAAGTACTTCCAACATGCACGAGGTACGTGTGAATCCGCGTTCAAGTATCAGCGCTCAACACAGGGAGAAAACAGAAAAAGCTCCCGAGGCCGGGACGCAGTGTAAGAAGTTTGCCGATGATGGAAAACAGGGGGGAATGTAAATGTAGAAGGGATGGCCCCACAAAGGAGAGGGGATGAGAATGGCAAGGAGAAAGAATGATCAAGGAGGCAGAGAGGGAAGATATGTAACAGGAAACACAGGTAGAATAGCTTCCAGAAGGAAATGAGGGGCGCCCGGGGGGCTCAGTCGGTTGGGCGTCCGACTTCGGCTCAGGTCACGATCTCACAGTTCGTGGATTTGAGCCCCGCGTCGGGCTCTGTGCGGACAGCTCAGAGCCTGGAGCCTGTTTCAGATTCTGTGTCCCCCCCTCTCTCTGCCCCTCCGCCACTCATGTTCGTTCGTTCTCTCTCTCTCTCTCTCTCCCTCCCTCAACTAAACATTAAAAAAAGGAAAAAAAGGAAAAAGAAAAGAAAGAAATGAGATAGATTTCCTCTGCACCCAAAGGCTTACAGAAGTCAGCGCACAGGACAAGCCTGCTGGAGAATGAATGAAGGCATCTGAGAAACTGCAACCAAAGACCTCAACCTTCTCCTTATGCAAGAGGGCGTCTGTGGAGAGACCCGTGACCTGCAGTCCCCAAGACGCCGCCCCCATTCAGTGGCTCGTATCTGCCTGGCTCTCACCTGAACGGGAGGTTTGGGGAGTTCCTCCCCCCCCCAACCACACAGCTGCTCCTTGCTCCAGCTGGAAAGGCACCACCGGTAGAAAGAGTGAACCCCCCACCCACGGGGAAAGACTGGCGGCCTGAGAGGCTTGGGTTGCGGACAGTGCACCAAACTCAATGCCTGCATCGGCACTTCGGGTCTTCAAGGTTTCTGGAAGAGACAAGAGCACACTGGAGACATGGCGTGTTGACCAAGCGGAAGATTTTATTTTCCCAATTAAAAACTTGCGGACCTCGGGGCACCTGGGGGGCTCAGTCAGTTAAACACCCGATTCTTGATCTCGGCTCAGGTCATGATCTCACGGTTCGTGGGATCGAGCCCCGCGTCGGGCTCTGTGCTGACAGCTCAGAGCCTGGAGCCTGCATGGGATTCTGTGTCACCCTCTCTCCCTGCCCCTCCCCTGCTCATGCTCTGTCTCTCTCTCTCTCTCTCAAAACTAAGCAAACGGTAAAAAATACTAATTAAAGAAACCTTGTGGCTCTCCCATTTCCCCAAGGAGATCTACAAATGGCCAACAAGCACACGAAAAGATGCTCAACGTCATTAGGCATCAGGGAAACGCAAATCAAAACCACAGTGAAACACCATTTCACACTTACTAGGATAGCTATTATTTTTTTAATGTTCATTTATTTTTCACACACACACACACACACACACACACACACACACACACACACGTGTGAGGAGGGGAAAGGCAGAGAGAAAGGGAGACAGAGAACCCCAAGCAGGCTCTGCACTATCAGCACAAAGGCTGACGCGGGGCTCGAAGTCACGAACCGCGAGATCACGCCGTGAGCTGAAGTGAGACGCTCAACCGACTGAGCCACCCAGGAGCCCTGTAATTTTTTTTTTTTTTTTTTTTAAGCAAAAACAGAAAATAAGGATTAGAGAGGATGTGGGCCAAGCGGAATCCTTGTGCGTGGCTGGTAAGATGGTGAAACACAGTCTGGCGGTTTCTCACAAAGGGAAGCACAGAGTCTCCATATGACCTAGCAAGTCTGCCCCTAGGTGTGCACCCGAGAAAGATGAAAGCAGGAACTCAAAGTGCTATTTGCACATCTGTGTTCACGGGAGCATGATTCTCAGCAGCTACAATGTGTCCACCCGTGGATGTGTAGATAAATAAAATGGGGTCCATCCACACACTGAAATATTACTCGGCTTTAAAAACCAAGGGCAGGGGCGCCTGGGTGGCTCAGTCGGTTAAGCGTCTGACTTTGGCTCAGGTCATGATCTCACAGTTCGTGGGGTCGAATCCCATGTCGGGCTCCGTGCTGACAGCTCAGAGCCTGGAGCCTGCTTCGGATTGTGTGTCTCCCTCTCTCTCTGACCCTCCCCTGTTTACACTCTGTCTCTGTCTCAGAACTAAATAAACATTAAAATGTTAACCTCATTAGTATCCTGTTACCATATCTAAAAAAAAATAAAATAAAATAATAAAAAAAATAAAAACCAAGGGCAGGGGCGCCTGGGAGGCTCAGTCGGTTAGGTGTCCAACTTCAGCTCAGGTCATGATCTCACGGTTTGTGGGTTCGAGCCCCACGTCGGGCTCTGTGCTGACAGCTCGGAGCCTGGAGCCTGCTTCAGATTCTGTGACTCCCTCTCTCTCTGCCCCTCTGCCGCTCATGCTCTGTCTCTTGCATTGTCTCAAAAATAAACATTTAAACAAACAAACAAACAAACAAACAAGGGCAGGGGCGCCTCAGTGGCTCAGCTGGTTAAACGTCTGACCTCAGCTCAGATCATGATCTCGTGGTTCATGAGTTCCACCCTGCGTCGGGTTGTCTGCTGTCAGCAGAGAGCTCACTTCAGATCCTCCGTTCCCCTCTCTCTCTCTCTCTCTGCCCTTCCCCCCCTCAAATAAACATTCTTTAAAAATTAAATAAATAAATAAAAAATAAACAGGAAGGACATCCTCCCACCTGCCACCACGTGGACAGACCCGGAGGACACTGTGCGCGGTGACAGGAGCCAGGCACGGAAGGACACGTCCCGCGTGACCCCACTCACAGGGGGTCCCTAGAGGAGCCCCGTCCACAGAGACAGAGAGTAGATGGTGGGAGCCAGGGGTGGGGCAGGCGGCGGGGTGTCAGTGCTTCGTGGGGGCAGGGTCTCAGTCTGGGGAGATGGAAAGTTCTAGAAACAGATGGTGGGGGTGACTGCACATTTTGAATGTAATTACTGCCAGCGAATTGTATACCCAAAAATGGTTTAAAAGGCAGATTTTATGTTATACGTGTTTTACCACACATACAAAAACATGTTTCATGATGACTCTGTACCCGAGGGGACTCCGGGACATTATCTAAGCCTCAGGTGAGATGTGCGGCTCGGCAGCAGCTCTGGGAGAAATCGGGTCACTTGCAGTGTTGGAGAAACCAGTGGACCACTCACCCCACAAGGGCAGGGGCCACACAGCTGCCTTATTCACCAACAACCCCCCACTTCCTAACACGGCTCTGGACACACCGCGGAGGCTACGTGCGTGTGAACCGATGGGCAGGTGCGTGCACGGCGCTGGTCTTACCCAGTGCGGCCAGGTTCCTGTAGGTCTCCAGCATCACCTCTCTGTACAGCCTCTTCTGAGCAGGGTCCAGCAAGGCCCACTCCTCTCGGGAGAAGGCCACGGCCACATCCTCGAAGGTCACTAACTCCTAAAATATCACATCGATTCTGCTCAAGAAAGGCCCCCCCCCCCCACCTTTTTACAAGAGGGCCGAAGGCCGTGGCCAACAGGAGATCCACGGGGAGCAGGGAGCGAAGCCCGGAGGTCAGATTCTGCTAGCACACAGATCTCGCGGGAACACATGGCCCGTTTCCTACTGAACTGGTGAGTCCCACTTTTGGATCTGTGAGCCCAACATTCCCACTTGAGAAACCTCCCCCTGCTTATTCTAGAAAGAGGTAGCTTGTGGGATCGGACGTGTATTACTGACTTTCCAGGACGTGGCCTCCTCATCTGCTCAATGCAAGGAGAATGGAAGAAACTCTTTCCGCTTCACGGGGTGCAGTGAGGCTGAGTAGTTCACGCCGGTCGGGGCATCTGCTAGCGATACGGTCAGAGAACCCAGAAGCCACACCTGCCGATCCGCACGAGCGGAGAAATGTGGCAAGAGCGCTGATGGGCAGAGGAAGGGCACGTGGAGGGGGGATGGCGAATGTGTGGTGCCTGGCTGGAACCAGCAGCTGGGCTGCTGTCTGTCGTGAGGGGAAAAGTTACCTACGGACTTTGAAAGCGATGGCTCCCACCCCAGGCGAGCAGGCCTGCTGGACCCGCTGGCTGGTTTCTGGCTGAAGTTAAGGTGGTTTTTGGTTTCGTTTTTAAAAAGCACAGTCCTGAGGCGCCTGGGTGGCTCAGTCGGTTGAGCGTCCAACTTCAGCTCAGGTCATGATCTCACAGTTTGTGGGTTCGAGCCCAACATCGGGCTCTGTGCTGACAGCTTGGAGCCTGGAGCCTGCTTTGGATTCTGTGTCTCCCTCTCTCTCTGCTCCGCCCCTGCTCACGCTCTGTATTTCTCTCTCTCAAAAATAAGCAAACATTAAAAAAAATTTTAAGGGGCGCCTGGGTGGCGCAGTCGGTTAAGCGTCCGACTTCAGCCAGGTCACGATCTCGCGGTCCGTGAGTTCGAGCCCCGCGTCAGGCTCTGGTCTGATGGCTCAGAGCCTGGAGCCTCCTTTCGATTCTGTGTCTCCCTCTCTCTCTGCCCCTCCCCCGTTCATGCTCTGTCTCTCTCTCTGTCTCAGAAATAAATAAATGTTAAAAAAAAAATTTTTTTTAATAAATAAATAAATAAATAAATAAAGATGCAGGCCTGAGCTGCTAAGGGGCTCCCGTGAAATCCTGCGTGGCCTGAACAGGCGATGACCTTCCGGCCTGACCGCCTAGGTCTGGGTGGCTCCGTTTACTTAACACGAAGACAGATAAGAAGGGACCCTGCCTGGCCTCGTGGCATCTCAGCTCTCCTGCTGCCGAGGGACAAGCCACAGCTTTGTTTGGAACCCTGACCCCACAGGTCCCGGGGGCAGCGTGGGCTCCAAGCTGAAACCTGACAGTGTCCCCGGGGGCTGTGCCAGCCTCAGCGAGCACCAGGCTGGCCTGAAAGTGGGTGTGCCTGCGATGACCAGGACTTCCATGCAGGGGCCAGAGCAGATCAAGTACCCCTCTCCAGGGGGCCCCAACAAGGACAACATCCAGGACACTGACTGGACCCTTGGGATCGCCTGCGAATGTCCACAGGGAAGGGCCTGTTCCCCCAGGGACCACCTGAACCTGAGCCGTCAGTCGGCCCTATATTTCTGGTGCAGACACTGATCACTTTCTCAGACTTGTGGCTGCCATCCGAAGCCGAGAGCTAAGGGACAGGGACCCCATCTACCAGTCCCCACAAATGTGTTGTCCGAGTGGATGGTGACCTCTGCTGTCCTGATACTCATGGCCTGTAAGGCAGCTTCACATTAAACACAGCTCTTCCAGGCTTACAAAGACTGACCCAGCCTCGGGAAGGAAGGACGTCCTGCCGCCTGCCACCACGTGGACGGACCCGGAGGCCACTGTGCACAGTGACAGAGGCCAGACACAGACGGACACGTCCCGCGTGACCCCACTCACAGAGGCTCCCCAGAGACAAGAGAGTGGATGGTGGGAGCCAGGGGTGGGGCGTTGGTGCTTCATGGGGACAGGGTCTCAGTCTGGGGAGACGCAAAGTTCTGGAGACGGATGATGGGGGCGGCTGCACGACACTGTGAGTGTGCTTGGTGCCGCTGAGCTGTGTGCTTAGAGAAGGTTACGATGGTGAATCCTTTACCACAACTGAAGTAACGAGACGGTGCTTCCCAGGCGGCCCCGCGCCGCGGTGGGGGAAGGGCTCCCTGCCGAGGACAGAAGCTCAGCTGTCTTGCGGGGAAAGACGCACTGAACGGCACGCCTGTGCTTCTGCTTACAAGCAGAGGTTCTCGGACCCAGACGCTCACGGGGAAGGCTCCCTGAGCTCCCACACAGCAATGGGGCTCCCTTCCCTATCTGGGAATGCACTTCTTGTAGGAGTGGGTCCTCTGGGCACACTGCACACTTGCAGGGGAAGAGGAAGGTCCCACTCACCTGGGGCCCGGGGGACACGTACTCAGGTCCCACTCACCTGGGGCCCGGGGGACACGTACTCAGCAGCCATCCTCTTCTCTTGGGAAAAGCAGGATCCGGGGCAGGCAGAGCTGCGGGAGGAGAAGGGACCGTGAAGCCCAGGCCCAGGCCTGTCCCTGATCCCCAAATCCTGGACCTGGACACCTCTGGCACAATCCAGGTGCCCCCCACACACACACACACACAGTGTGGACAACAGAAGCCAGGACAGAGGCCACAGGCCTGAATGGCCCCTTAACCCATGCACGGACCAAAATACGGAAGGTCTTGGAAGCTTACAAAGTATACCAATTCTATCACGGAGGAGTCTGTGCAAGTGTCCTGGGGCCACTGAAATAAACGACCACACGCTGGGGGCTTAAGACAGCAGAGATTTATTCTCTCACGTTCAGGAGGCCAGAAGTTGGATCAAGGTCTCAGGGCCAAAGCCCCAGAACAGGGTCCTTCCTGCCTCTTCCAGGTTCTGGGACTCCAGCTTCCCCTGGGCTTGTGGTCACATCCCTCCAGCTTCTGCCTCGGTGGTCACGTGACTGTCTTCTGACTCTGTGTTTCTCTTCTTATAAGGACGCCAGTCGTTGGATTAGACTCACCCATTCCCATATGACCTCATCTTAACTAATTACATCTGCAAAGACCCCATCTCCAGATAAGCTCACATTCCAAGGTTCCGGGTGGACACGAATTTTGTGGGGAACCCCATTCAACCCAGTAGGACCTCCCAGCCTCGAAGCCCACAGGCCCCCACCCTTGGCGCCTCCCAGACTCATCTCTGCCTTCCCACAGCCCAGCCGGCTCCCTGGGGCCCCTCTCCCGGGCCCCCTCCTTTGCCCTGGACTCTCCTACCAGACCACCCCAGCTCTGCAGCAGGAAGGATCCAGATGCGCCTGTCCCACCCGGAAGGCACAGGCCGGACTGTGAGCCCTGCACACTCCCGGGAGGCTCCCTTCCTTTCCAGGCTGATTCTGGTGCTGCCTGGTGGCACCAAGGACCCTCTCTCGCCTCTCTGAGCCCTCCGTCCAACTAGGCCTTGACTTCTGGGCTTCTGAGTTCAGCTCAGATGCTCTGTTTTAGCCAGAGCCCTGCTAAGTCACTTCAGCTTGAAGCCCCCGCCCCGTGTCTGATCACCCTGGATATCCGGCCAATTTCCTCCTGCCCCACCCAGGTGGTGGGGGGGGGGGTTGAGGGGGGGGGATCACCCAGAATGCCTGCAGCAGCAATCCTATCAGGTCTGTTCGGCCAGAATCCCCCGTGATGCGTCCTCACGGCAAGTGCCCGTCTGCTGACCCCCACCTACTCCCTTGCTATAAACCCCCGCTTGTCCACACTGCATCGGGGATGGGGCCCAGGTGCACCAGAGGTCTTTCCCCCCTGCAACAGGTCCTGAACGGGTTCTCGTGCTCCAAGGACTGTCTGGCTGTGGCCCTCTGTTAACAACATCCTGGAGCAGTCCTGCTCTGTCCCCACTCACTACACGTGAGCCACCAGCCTGCTCCGGGTGATGTCGTAGGCGTGAAGTCTCTTGCAAACGCAAATTCTCATGCAGACTCGTGAGGAATGAATAGAGGCCAGTTACCGGATACTTGGGACGGGCGTGATCTGGATTCCTGGATGAAAACTTCAAAAATCACCACCCAGCCCCGCTAATAGAAAATCACCATGGGATTTTCATGGGAACACCCCGGTGATCATCCCCGCAGACAAGGCCCACAGATGCACACGTCGTTACCGGGGACACTCCAAGGAGAGGCGGGACATCGGGTAGCAGGAAAGCCACACCTCCAAAATACTTGTTAATTGCCGCCATGGTGTTAACGCATCTGTAAATTCTTCCATGGTCCTCCCTCCAGGACGCGGAGCCTCCCCTCCCCCGCGCCATCCACGTGGGTTCACTCAGTGACTTGCTTCCAGCAAACAGTGCGGACAGAGTGAAGAGGAACTTTATTCACGGAGAACCCTGGCGGACCCCGCCCTAGCCAAGCGATGAAGACCGGTGTCACTGTGATGAGGACAGGGCGCCTGCTGTGATGCCCCCTGATGTGACAGGACGCCTCTGGGCCACCTTCGGTGTAAGGTAACCTCAGTGTAATCAGGAGAAAACATCAGACGAACTCAGTCCAAGGGACCTTCTACAAAGCACCTGGCCACTGCTCTTGAAAAGCGTCGAGGCCACGCAAAACCAGGAAAGTGTGAGGAAAGGTCACACTGGAGGAGCCCCAGAAAACAAGGCGAGACGGCGAGATGGCGAGACGTCACGTGGGACCCCGGATGCGGTCCAACCTGGTGAAATCTAAATGAAGCTTGCAGTCTAGTTAATATTCTGAACCAAGGCTGGTGTCTTGGTGGCTTGATGTGGCTTTTTTTGTTTAAGTTTATTTTGAGAGAGAGAGAGAGAGAGAGAGAGCGAGCAGGGGAGGGGCAGAGAGAGAGAGAGGAAGAGACAGAATCCCAAGCAGACTCCACGCTGCCAGTACAGAGCCCGACGTGGGGCTCGATCTCGCAAAGTGCGAGATCACGACCTGAGCTGAAATCAAGAGTCGGACGCTTAACCAACTGATCTGCTCAGGAGCCCCAGTGGGTTGATGTTTTGAAAAACGGTTTGTGGTAAGAACGCTTAACATGAGATTTATCTTAACAAATTTTAAGCGTAGAAGGCGCTGTTGCTGACCGTAGGTACGACATCGTCCGGTGGCCCTCTCTCGCACGTGCTCATCTTCCGTAACTGAGACTTGATGTTGCCCAGCCCCTTCCCTCGGCCCCTGGCGGCACCACTCGGGGGTCACGTCTTGGCTGTGATAAATGTCCCACAGTGAGACGTCAACATCAGGAGAAGCGTTCCCACTACAGCGATGTTAACCCTGAGGTAGCACAAATCGGCTCTTGGGACAGGGAGGGGAGAATGTAGAAAGTATTCTTTTACACGCATGCAGAACAGAGGCAGATACGGGCACGTCTCATTTCATTGCACTTCACGGCCACCGCGTTAAGACTGAAGATCCGTGACAACCCTGCGTCACCCCGTTGGCACCATTTTTCCAACAGCATTTGCTCACTGCGTGTTCCTGGGTCATGCGTTGGTGATTCTCACGAACTCATTATCTTTTTTTAACTTTATTTATTTTGAGAGAGAGAGGGAGAGAGAGAGAACACACGTGCAGGAAAAGGGGCAGAGAGAGAGAGGGAGGCAGAGAATCCTAAGCAGGCTCCATGCTGTCGGCACAGAGCCCGACGTGGGGCTCGATCTCACAAACTGCGAGATCATGACCTGAGCCAAAACCAAGAGTCGGATGCTTAACTGACCGAGCCCACCAGGCGGGTCTGCACTCATTATTCTTATAGTTGTTACAGTGATCTGTGACCAGTGATATGACTGGCTGACAGTTCACATGATGATAAGCATCTTGTAGCAGTTAAAGTACTTTCAAATTAAGATATTTACATTGTTCTTTTATTTATATTTTTGAAAAAGTAGTGGAGATTTTTTTAACGTTTATTTTTGAGAGAGAGAGAGAGAGAGAGCGCGGGAGAGGGGCAGAGAAAGAGGGAGACACAGAATTGGAAACAGGCTCCAGGTTCTGAGCTGTCACCATGGAGCCTGATGTGGGGCTCAAACCCACCAACCGCAAGATCATGACCTGAGCCAAAGTCGGAGGCTTAACCGACTGAGCCACCCAGGCGCCCCTACATTGTTCTTTTAGATACAGTGCTAATTGCACAAGGACCGGGAACATGTAACTTTTACATGCACTGGGAAACCAAACAATTCATTTGACTTGTTTCGCTGGGGTCGTCGGGAACCGAACCCGCAATATCTCCAACGTATGTCTGTACACATGTATCTGTTGTCACAGGTTAATCTGTGTCCCCTCCAAATTCATACCTTCCAGTCCCAACCCCAGGACCTCAGGCGGTAACTGTATTTCAAGATAGGGCCTTTAAAGAGGTATTAAGTCAAAATGAGGTCGTTAGGAATGGGCCCGGATCCAGTAAAACCAGTGTCCTTATAAGAAGAGAGGATTAGGACACAGACACGTGGAGAAGACAAGTCTGTGGTGGGAGCTGTGCAGCCCCAGCACCCAGACGCATCTCTGCTACAAAATTTTCATGGCGGGGGCGGGGCATCCGGGTGTCTCAGTTGGTTAAGGGGCCGACTCTTGAGCTCTGCGCTGACAGCGTGGTCTGTTTGGGTTCTCTCAATCTCTCTCTCTCTCTCTGCCCCTCCCCTGTTCACACGCGCTCTCTCTCAAAAAAATAAACATTAAAATTTTTTCATGGTGGGGGGGGTCAATACCCACGTGCTGGCTTTGATCCTACGCTATCCTCAGGAGACAGGCCAAGGGAGCGAGCTGGGTGATGGGTGGGTGGGACTCCACCCCGTTTTTGCAACATTGTATGAGTCTATAATTAAGTCAAAGCTGAACGTTTAAGAAAATAGCCTGCCTCCCCTCCAGGCCGGGGGGACCAGGGGAGCTGGGTGATGGGTGGGTGGGACTCCACCCCGTTTTTGCAACATTGTATGAGTCTATAATTAAGTCAAAGCTGAACGTTTAAGAAAATAGCCTGCCTCCTCTCCAGGCCGGGGGGATCAGGGAACAAGGTTCCTCCGGGTGAGGCTGAAGGGAGAAGCCGGCAGAGAGCACGCACGAGGAGCGGTGGCAAGGCACTCAGGGCCTCCGCGCACGCCTCTTCCAGAGACGGCGACTCCCTAACAAAGAGCTCCCGTAAAGAACAGGCACTTGTCCAAAGGCGACGCGCGAACGACCAAGCCGCATGGAAAGGATGATCGATCTCATGAGCCATCACGGAAACCAGACCCACAGTGAGGAGGCCCCTCCCGCCCAGCAGGATAACTGGAGGCCACAGGACAGGAACAGGTGTCGGTGAGGATGGGGGGGGGGGGGGAATGGCCACCCTGAAGCAAAGCCGGCGGGGGTGGGAGGTGGGTCGCTGTCCTGGAAGACGGTCCGGCGGTTCCTCAAATGGTTAAACACAGTTTCCACTGGACCCAGGGATGCCTCTCCTACCGTCTGCCCGAGAGACACGAAAACACACGCCCACACCAAAACCTGTCCACGAATGTTCGTGGCGGCATGACTCGCGGTGGCCGAAGAGTGGAAGCAACCCCGGTGCCCATCAACGGATGAACGAGGAAGCACAATGTGGTCCAGCCATACAGTGGAATATCACTCAGCCTCGAGCAGGAGCGAGGCGCCCACACCCGCTGCCCTGCGGTCAGACCTGAACACATGACGCTCAGGGAGGGAACGAGACACGAGAGGCCACACGGGGGTGTAAAACGTCCAGAACGGGATCATCCAGGGACAGGCAGGGGGCTCGTGGGGACTAGGGGAAGGAGGGTGACTGCTGATGGAGACAGGGTTTCTTCTGGGGTGATGGAATGTTCCAGAACTAGACAGACATGATGACTGCACAACTCTGTGAATACACGAGAAATCACTGAACTGCATACCTGAAATGAATGAATTGGTTTGTGGACTATATGTAAATAAAGCTGTTAGCCAAAAATAAACCTAACAAACCTGGAAAAAAATACCATGGCTAACTCCAGTAAGCATGTGTAACTGGTCTTTTTTTTTTCTTTTTTGGACATGTAACTGTTTAAAAAAAATTTTTTTTAATGTTTACTTTTTTAAGAGAGAGAGAGACAGAGCATGAGCCGGGGAGGGCCAAAGAGAGAGGGAGACACAGAATCCAAAGCAGGCTCCAGGCTCCGAGCTGTCAGCACAGAATCTGACCTGGGGCTTAAACTCACAAACCCTGAGATCATGACCTGAGCCAAAGTAAGACACTTAACCGACTGAGCCACCCAGGCGCCCCATAACTGTTTAAATTATCAAGGGGGCGCCTGGGTGGCTCAGTCGGTTGAGTGTCCGACTTCAGCTCAGGTCACGATCTCACGATCTCGCGGTCAGTGAGTTCAAGCCCCGCGTCGGGCTCTGGGCTGATGGCTCAGAGCCTAGAGCCTGCTTCCGATTCTGTGTCTCCCTCTCTCTCTGCTCCTCCCCCATTCATGCTCTGTCTCTCTCTCTCTGTCTCAAAAAATAAATAAACGTTAAAATAAATAAATAAATAAATAAATTAATTAATTAATTAATTAATTAATTATCAAGGAAGGGGCGCCTGGGTGGCTCAGTCGGTTAAGTGTCCGACTTTGGCTCAGGTCATGATCTCACAGCTCGTGGGTTCGAGCCCCGTGTCGGGCTCTGTGCTGGAGCCTGGAGCCTGCTTCGGATTCTGTATCTCCCTCCCTCTCTCTCTCTCTCTCTCTCTCTCTCTCTGCCCCTCCCCCGCTGGCTCACGCATGCTCTCTCTCTCTCTCTCAAAAATAAATAAACATTAAAAAAAATTTTTTAATAAAAAAAAAATAAATTACCAAGGAAGACGTGATCTGTAAGGGCAACTTCTTTTACAGACCACTTATGAAATGAAACAGATAAAGTAGAACAAAAGTCTGAAAATCTAGAAGATGAGCCGGAGTGCCACAGAGTTCTCGAGGAGAGCCGGCCCCGCCTTGCTCTGCGCATGTAGCTTCAGCTACAAAGGGGAGCAGGCTGTGCCCGGCCATGCCCCCAGGGCATCAGACGTGTCTTTACAAGGACACGCGTGCTTCACCCTGACGAAACATCTGCTGATGACACTGAATCAGGTCCTCTAAAAGACACGCTCCAGTCCTGACCCTCTGGTACCTGTGAAGGTGACCCCCATGTGCAAGCAGGATCTTCGCAGATGAGATGAAGTCATATAGGAGTAGAGTGGGCCCGATGCCACGGGCTGGTGTCCTTAAAAGAGACGCAGACACACAGGAAGAAGGCCATGTGACAATGGACGGAGAGGCGGGAGTGACACAGCTGTAAGCCGAGGGACCCCAAGCGTAGAGAGGGACCACAGGGAGCTGGAAGAGGCAGGAAGGGTCCTCCCCTGGAGGCCGGCTGACCCTGGATTTCAGACTTCTGGCCTCCAGAGTGTGCAAGAGGAAGTTTCTGGTGTTTCAGCCACCCAGTCTGCCCCGGGACGCTCACAAACACCAAAGGCAAACAGAGGGGCAGCGTTTCTTGCCACCCCCCCCCCAACCCCCTAGCCTTGCTGCCAGGGAGCCTCACGCAGGGGATTCTGTGCGAGCACCTGAAGGCATCTACCACTGCCTCCCACACCGCGTGCACTTCCGCCTTTGCTCTTGGGACTTTATAAATATTTTTGTTAATGCCTGAGACACAGAACGAGACAGAGCATGAGCCGGGGGAGGGGCAGAGAGCGAGGCAGACAGAATCCGAAACAGGCTCCAGGCTCCGAGCTGTCAGCACAGAGCCCGACGTGGGGCTCACACTCACGAACCGTGAGATCATGACCTGAGCGGAGGTCAGAGGCTTAACCCACTGAGCCCCCCAGGCGCCCCGGCTCTTGGGACTTGAAGCCGCAGCTCAGGGCAATGGGTCCAGGTCCCCCAGCCCCTTCCTAGGTCTTGCAGAACAATTCTCTCCCATCGTCTGATGGTTCGAAGACCCTCCTACCTTGTGGCAGATGCCAGTGGTCCCTTCAGCCCCCTCCTTCACCTAGACCTGTGCCACATGGCTTGGGACCTTCCCTTTCAATGTTCAAACCACAGAAACCCATCATTTCTCCCCAGGAAGGGCCTGATGGGGCCAATGAGGAACTCCTCTAAGGATAAAGTGTAAGTCGGGATCTCCCTCGCAGCATTGTGAACGGCGGTTCGGGTTGTTCTCGCCGGGCGGGGCGGGGGGTGCTCTTCTGGGCACTGGGAGGAGTTGAGCAGCGTCCCTGGCCTCACCTACTCCACCCCAGGGCTCAGCAGGGTGGCAACCACAGATGTTCCTAGATACCACCACGGTCCCTTAGGGACAGAGGCACTCCCCAGTGAGATCTCCCTGGTTTAGGGGAGTCTACCCGCCCCCAAGACACTTTGTGTGCCATCATTATCTGCTCTACGGAGGTCCCAGGAGGCTGCACACAATTAAATACACACCCGGGGGGGGGGGGTCACTCTGGTTCCTACTGTCTGACCCTTTGAGGATTTATTCTGGTGTCTAGTGAGCAGGGATCGGAGTCAACTGGTTTTCTAAATAATTAACATAGGGTGTCTCCGCCTCAACCCTGTGGACACTGGGGCCGGATCATTCTCTGGGGTGGGGCCGTCCTGGGCACTGCAGGGGGCTGAGCAGCATCCCGGACCCCCACCCACTCGATGCACTGCCGCCCCCCCCCCCCACCCAGCCCCGTCATGACAACCACCAACGACCCCAAGCACTGCCAAGTGTCTCCTGGGGGATGGGGCAGGCAGAATAGTCTGGGGGAGACCCCGGGTCAGCCAAGGAGCCCTAGTGAATTCATATTCCCAAGTCTGAACGTTCCGACCCCTCTCGGCCTTTAAGAGCAAATAGGGTTTATTCCATTTCCCTTTCAAGTGCGGCCCCTCCCTCACAGCAGAGCGCGCCCCCTGGGTCTCACGCTGGGGTCCCCCCCGCCGGGCAAGGGTCAGATGTGCCATTCTGGGCGCTGGGCGGCCTCCGTCGCCTCGAGTGACAGACAGGACAAACGCCCACGGGAACGCCTCGGCCGCCCCTCCCGCCGGACCCCCGCCCAGGGCCCCGAACACCCGTCTTCAGGCGCGGTGACCCCGGGGTGGGCGCAGGTGCCAACCGGGGCGCAACGCTCGGGCGCCACCGGCTCCCGCCCGGGCCCGCCGCGGCCAGTCCCGGACGCCACCTCCCTCCGCCCCCCGGAGCCCGCGCCCCCGCCCCCTCCCTGCGCCCCGTTAACTCACGCCGCGCCGCCGCCGCCGCCGCCGCCGCCTCCCCGACGAGCGCAACCAGGACGGTCTCCGCAGTGCGCCTGCGCACCACGAAGCCGCGAACTACAAGTCCCAGGAGGCTCGGTGGTGGAGCTGGGTGGCCCCCGTCCCTCTGGGGCAACGAGTCGAGTCACAGCGCCATCTGCGGGCGGGAGGTGTCTCCGCAGGACTGAGAGCTTCCTGCAGCTGCGCACAGCCGCCGGCCGCAAACGCGCGCCCGCGCCGTCGGGCAGGTGCGCGGAGGAGGCTCCGCCAGGCCTTAAATGAGCGGCAAATTTCCAGCCTTCCGTTTGGCGCGGTGCCAGAGACATACAGATTTGCCTATTGGTTAACAAATCATGGAAACGTATAAACCGTTTTTTGCTTGGTAAAAGTGTTTTAATGATACTATTTCTTACTAATACCAATATGTTGATTTGTGTTATCAATAATATGTTGCAACAATAAAACTACCATAATTAACGTATTAATGTATTGGAGTTTAGTAATATCGAATGTTGTAATGAACTATAATATTCTGTATAGTACAGTAAATGTAACCAACCTTCTAGAGGCGTCTGGGTGGCTCTTGTCCACTCTTGGTTTCAGCTCAGGTCACGATTATCACTGATTGGGTCTGAGCCCCGCCAGGGGCTCTGCACCGGCAGCGGGAAGCCTTCATGAGATTCTCTCTTTCTCTTCCTTCTCTGCCCCTCCCCGCTGGCTCTGTCTCTGAAAAATAAATATTTAAAAAAATGTAGCCATCTAGTGATAAAACAATAATAAATTACATAAATATGTGATAAATTCTACATTTAAAGAATTCTTATTATTGGTCCAAATCGTGATATGTATTATATGTATTTCTGAATATTATTTCTCTTTTTTTAATGTTTATTGTTGAGAGAGAGAGAGAGACTGCACAAGCCGGGGAGGGGCAGAGAGAGAGGGAGACCCAGGATCCGAAGCAGGCTCCAGGCTCCGAGCTGTCGGCACAGAGCCCGACGTGGGGCTTGAACTCACGAACCTCGAGATCATGACCTGAACCGAACTCGGACGCTCAACCAACCAACAGAGCCACCCAGGCACCCCTATTGCCTTTCTCACTCCCTCTCTCTATGCAATGCCCAAGCCCTGAGCTGCGTGTTTTCCTTGGAGAAGAAATGGGGTCCCCTGAAGTGGAGAGAAGTTGGCAGTGTTTCCTCCATTACAACTGATGCTTTACTGGAACCGGAGATGGTGTGTCACGTGACACGTCATTATAAACATCATGCTTGTGACTTTGTCATCCGATCTGGGGCAGAATGGATTAGGATCTTTTCTCCAGAGTTGCATCTTACTTGTTTCAAGCCTAGACTGGGAATCTAGTCTTCGAGTGGCTTTGATTTAAGTAGGATAAACATCAGGTGAAGGTCCCAAGGGTTGGATGAATTTGTGTAACAGATGGCCCAAGCCAACGCAACAATGCACATTATGTGTGTTATACCTGAATGTGTTCCCCGCCCCAACCCACCCCCAAATTCTTAGGTTGACACCTGGTGGCCAGTGTGATGATATTAGGAGGTGGGGGCCTTTGAGAGGTGGAGTCATCACGGATGGGATTAGTGCCCTTATGAGAGAGACCCAAGAGAGCTCCCTCGTCCCTTCTGCCTTGTGAGGACACAAGGAAGAGGTCGGCTCTCTGCAGCCTGGAAGGGGGTTCTCCCCTACCTGGGCCAGGACCCTTTATTATACCAGCCTGAACAGACTCAAGGTGTTCAATAATTTCCCAACCCCACTTTTCCAGTCTGGTTTTTCCAGTCTTAGCCCGTGATGCAGAAGATACGCCGTCCAGACTGCCTGTTTAGGACTGGAGGACCTGTTCCTCCTCGTACCCCTCCACACTGCTGCTGGCAGTCCTGGGCTTTCAGCCTTGATTAATAAAAAATAATAGCAGTGGTTCCCCGGGATGGCTCAGTTGGTTCAGCGTCTGACTCATGATTTTTCAGCTCAGGCCATGATCTGAAGTTTAAGCCCCACATCGGGTGGGTGAGTGAGTTTAAGTGTGAGTTTAAGCCCCACATCGGGTGAGCCCCTTCTCTCTCTCTCCCTCTCCCTCTTGCACCAATTCTCTCTCTCTCTCAAAAAAAAAAAAAATCCCTTTGCAGACAGCCTACTCCTCTACTGACCACTCCTTTGTGGTCTATTCAATAAACTTCTGTCTCCTCTTAAGAAGTCACTTTAATTGTTACTGGTTTAAATACCTAAATTAAAAGTCATAGATTGTCATATAAAATGGTAAGAAAATAAATCAAAAGGACATAACGATCCAAGATATTTATGCGTCTATTAACAGAGCTTCAAAATACACAAAGCGGGGCACTCGGGGGGCTCCGTCGGTTGGGCGTCCGACTTCGGCTCAGGTCACCATCTCACGGTTCGTGGGTTCGAGCCCCGCGCCGGGCTCTGTGCTGACAGCTCGGAGCCTGGAGCCTGCTTCGGATTCTGTGTCTCCCTCTCTCTCTGCCCCTCCCTTGTTCGTGCTCTGTCTCTCTCCCTCAAAAATAAAGACTTTTTAAAAGTTTTAAATAAATAAATACAAACAAAATACACAAAGCAGAAATGCAAGGAGAAATGGGTAAGGGCACACTTACCGTTGGAGATGATTTCAATATTCCTCGTATCAATCAGAGTTCCTGGAGGCAAACAGGGCGGTTAACCTTTAGGAACTGCGTTATGTGATTACGGGGGCTGACAAGTACAACATCCACAGGGCAGGCTGGAGACCAGGGAAGAGTAGCCGTTGTAGCCCAAGACCAAAGGCCGTCGTCCTGTGGCGGGATTCCTTCTTCCTCGCTGGACCCCAGCCTTTCCTCCTTGAGGCTTCCAACTGATTGGATGAGGCCCCCTGACATGACGGAGGGTAATCTCTTCACTCAAAGCGGGCTGATTTAAATGGTAATCACACCTGGGTTTCCCAGGTGACTCAGTCCGTTGAGCACCCAACTTTGGCTCGAGTCATGATCTCACAGTTCATGAGTTCAAGTCCCAATTCGGGCTCACTGCTGTCAGCGCAGAGCCCGATTCAGATTCTCTGCCCCTCCCTCTCTCTCTGCCCCTCTCCCACTTTTACTCTTGCTCTCTCAAAAAAAAAAAAAACCATTAAAAACAAATAAACGTTAATCACATCTAAAGATTCGACCTCCGCAGCAACATCTAGACTGATGTTTGACCAAACAATGGGTACCATAACATACCCCAATAGATGCATAAAATTAATCACCACCCCCCCCCCCAATAATTAACAGAACAAGTGGGCAGAACGTCAGCAAAGGTGTCGATTCAATCAACCCTATCGACAAACTTGACGGGACTGCCATGTATGAGACACTCTAGCCAACAAGAGCCAAACACACATCCTTCCCAAAAGTGCACAAAACGGATGCAAAGACAGATTATATTCGAGGCCATAAAATTGTCTTCGATACATTCAAAAGGATTCAAGTCTTCCAGAATAAGTGTGATTGGCTAATGTGTATTAACACAGTACTGGGCTCCCTCACGCTGCTTCCAGCGGGGGGGGGGGGGGGGGGAAATGGACCCCCCCCTTGTCTTCCCCTTCAGATCCCCGAGGGGCCTTTGGATCTGCCCTTGAATGGCAAAACTCAGTTTCCAGCTGTGCATCAGATGGCCTCCAGGGATGCTGTTCTGGTCCCAGACGTGGTGGCCGCGTTGCCGCATGGTGGCCGGACCTGGGTGGGGCCGTGTGTCTCGAATGATAGGAAGGGGAGCAGTTCCTCTGGGATTTGAAGAGGAAACGGTCAGGAAAGGTATCTTGCACAGCCTTGTACGGAGGGGATTCCCGCCACAGGGCGATTCCAACCTCTCTCAGAATGGATTCCCAGAGTCGACAATTTAACAGCCAACGTGACTATCGTTTGTAGGGACACCAGTTCTCCGATCAGCTTCCGCATAGGTGGGATGAACACCGTCACCACACAGAAGGTGTGGGCCAGGCCACCCCGCGGGACTTCACCGCCGGTGGGAGAGACTCCACGCTTGACGCTTTCCACGGGACTCTTGCCTTTTCACACCAGAGTCCTGAAATTCCTGGTTTCTCATGTTTGATACAGACGGTTAGCCCTCCTGAATACCCACAAGACGTCATCCTTAGGAAACGCTGGCGATTTTATTTCGGGTGGTCATCGCCAGGATCCACCTGCAAGGTTTTGGAGGGATGCCCACAGGATGCGTCTTTGGAGGACACACGCCCGCACTCCTTTGACAGAGTCCCGTGTGGCTCCCATGCCCTCCACGAGACGCTCTTTGCCCGGCCAGAAACGGGGTCTGTGGGTAACTCGAAAGGTCCGACGGTGCCCCAAGTGTCACCACTGCCACCGCCGCGTTTGGAGCCTCAGAAACCGCAGTCCATCGAGAATGCCTGCTGGCGACAATATGCCCTCAGAAGGCCAAAGGGGCTCGGTTTTAATGAACTGGCGTTTTCCTCAAGAGTTGTGGGAATATCTGTGGTTGCATTTTCTAGGCAAGGACAAAGAGCGCCTGAGCTGGAAATGGCCCTGAAGTAGACGGTGCCTCTGGGTGCAGGAGATTTCATAAAGCAGAACTCGGTATCTATCCTTTGCTGCCCAGAGAATCTTCATAACCAGTCAGCTCTGCTTTGGTCAGCGGGATGGATTTCCCAGCCATGATGTCTTGTAAGGATGGTGTGAAACGAACCAAGTCCCCCTTCGTGCAACTGCTCTGAAGAAGAGTTTATCCATTTTTTTATTTAATTCTACGAGCACTTCAAGGGAAAGCTATTGCTCTCTCCTTTTTTACAAATGAAGACATTGGTTCTTAAAGGGTCAACTACCCAGGAGCTTTAAAATGTAAGTTGTTTTTTTTTTAAGTTTACTCATTTATTTTGAGAGACTTAGAGAGAGAGCGGGAGAGGGGCAGAGAGAGAGGAAGAGAGAGAGAGAATGCCAAGCAGGCTCTTCATTGTCAATGGAGAGCCTGATGCGGGTCCCGAACCCACGAACTGAGTGATCATGACCTGAGCCGAAGTCAAGAGTCGGATGCTTAGCCTACTGAGCCCCCCAGGTGCCCCTAAAGTGTAGGTTTTATTATCTAGGTATGGCGGGGCCAACAGATCAGGAGAGAGCTGCCGTGGAAAAGACAGTTCGTTGCCGACACTTCCCAAATGGAGGGAGCACGCCACTGGTGGGGAGCACTCCAGGAAGCACCAGGATCCATCAGGAGGCAGGGGTGTGGGGAACACGGGCAGGGACCTTCATTGT